CCAAGAAAGGTAATAGAATGGGGAACAAAACCTATATAGTGAATAGAGGGCACAGATCCGGTTTAAGGGGTAATAGAGCACCCGAATACCAAAAACGGCCGGACCTAAGAAAAAATACTTCAACAAGCACGTTACGATCGATTTTTGAACCCTTGAATCTCCTAATTACGGGTATATCCTATATATCCTAAGAAAGCTTATAGAATGGGGAACAAAACCTATATAGTGAATATAGGGCACAGATCCGGTTTAAGGGGTAATGGAGCACCCGAATACCAAAAACGGCCGAACCTAAGAAAAAATACTCCAACAAGCACGTTACGATCGGTTCGGCCGTTTTCAGTTTTCGGTCGCTCGTTACCCTTTAAATCGCATCTGTGCCACATATTCACTCTATAGCTTTTGTTCCTCATTTTATTACCTTTCTTGTGATATATAGGATATACCTGTAATTAGGGGATACGGGGGTTCAAAACTCGATCGTAACGTGATCTTTGGTGTATTTTTTCTTAAGTTCGGTTCGTCGTTGTTGGAGATGTTTTTGGTATTCGGGCGTAGTATAACATAGATCTCCTATTAGTGCTATTATTAGATTTTTCTTTAGGGAAACACCCTAGTTTTTTTATATAAAACTTTCATTACTTGTGTATATATCCTCTTCTAGACTTTTCATATTGATAATATTTTTTATATATATATGTGTAAATTTTTGAGAATTTGAAAAGAATTATTGGCACTCAAAGACGTATTTTTTTTCACTCCCCTGACACAAGGTGTACTGTTCAGTCGGTAGATTACGTTAAGTGTGGACATTCTTGATAGTGAAATGAGTCGGAAACGAATGCTCACTTTAATGCTTTATGAATAAAAGTAGACCCCACCCCTAGAAATATACGTAACAAACTGAGTGCGACAATTGTACCGTAAACTTCTATATATATGCATAAGTGGGTTTTAGATGCATGATCAAATGTAATGTTACGTAAAAAATAAATAATTCAGTCTAAATATTAAAAAGGGATAGGCCTAACTTTTTGCTAACAAATATCTTTTCTCTTTATTCCTTAATACTATATAATTCTATAGAGATTTCTACTTACGTTACTTTCGTTTTTGACTGCAAACCTATCTAAATTATCGTTTGCAAAATAATATTTATTTATTAATGATTACTCATAAAAATATTTTATTTTATGATATAGATTGATAATATGAAAATATTGTGTCGTTAGAAATATATATATATAATATAAGTAAAAAATCATGGATATTTTTGCACTCGTTTAGAAGATTAACAATTATCCCGTTAGTTTTCTCTTTTGAATTCCTTTTACATTTATGATTTATGCGGTATGGGATTTTCACATTGCTGAAGGCCGTACGGTGACCTAAAGCTTGTAATGTCTGTGTCATTGGCAATCATACCAATTTTTTCTAATTTTTATATATACAAGTAGATAGGTACAAGACGAGATTTAAAAAAATATATGTATATATACTGAATACATTTAGTGTATGCAGTTACAGTATTTAACTGAGTTTTACTGTGCATATTGCTGTGTATTTGTTTATTCCACATTGGCTAGAGGTATAGGGGAAGGGTTGATATCTCACAAAACATGTTTAACCCCGACGCATTTTTGCGACTGTCCCAAGACAGGAACCTCTAGCATTTGTTAGTATTGTGTTTTTTTTTTGTTTTTTTTTTCATTTGTGTGTTTCAATACATGTATGACATTACATACAATTATGCTTTGAATCTTTGTAATTTTATTCATTTGACCTTGATTTGATATTTTGTCATATATAATATATATTTATTTATCTGAGGTAATATCATGTTAATATGGGGGGGGGGGGGGGGGGAGACATCATTATACTTTGTATTGATTTTCCCGATTTGATAAAAACTTGAAGCTTGTAACTTGTGTCAGAGTTTAGTGTGGCGTCCATTTCGCTGCGTTTGTTTTTCGTTTATTGGTTTGTACATAAATCAGCCCGTTCGTTTTCTCGTTTAAATTGTTTTACATTTGTCATTTCGGAACTTTTTATAGCTTGCTATGCGGTATGGGTTTTGCTCATTGTTGATGGCAGTACTGTGACCTTTAGTTGTTTAATTCTATGTCATTTGGTCTCTAGTGGAGAGTTGTCTCTTAGGCAATCATACCATATCTCCTTATTTTTATATAGTATACATCAATGTAAAACCAGCGGTTTAATGTTTAATGTAACTCATCAAAGAAGACTCACAAAAAAATGCTCAATACTGTAAGGCGTTTTGAAAAAAAACTGTATAATTGTTATTTTCACAGATTTTTCAATTCTAAAGCATGTAATCTCGTCAAAAATCAGTGAAGCAAAACCAAACGTAATCTCGATCTGTAACTCATCATAGTAGACTTACATACTTAAAATCAGCTCAATATGTAAAGGCGTTTAGAAAAAAGTCCATATTACTGTTATTTTCACGAAATTTCAAAGTCTAAAAACCAGCCATGTGGAACCAAAAGTAAACTTGATATGTAACTTATCATAGCAGACTCACATACTAAGAATCAGCTCAATATGTGAAGGCGTTTAGAAAAAAAGTCAGTGTAACTGTTCACAGATTTTTCAAAGTCCAAAATCCAGGAAGTTTGGCAAAAATCAGCGGAGCAGAACCCATTTAATCATATTCCATCAATACGATCCTCTTGTACTGTACAAATCTGATTAAAATATAGATCTCTGATTTCGCTATCCTCATGTGAGCTTACATATATGAGCACGCGAGTTAAGATAGATCTGAATTTTAATCAGATTGGTATTGTAGAGAAAGGTTCAGCAACATTTTTGTAACTATCTCCCTTGTGACTGTTTTATTCATTTCTCAAAAAAAAAAACTGTTAGTAACTTGTAAGGACTGTATTTCGCCCGTACGTCAGTAAGCCGTGTGCTGAATGGTCGCCCGCTTCTCTGCCGGCCGTATAAATACCAATGCAGCCATTTCCTAACGGGCAGGGGTGGATTCAGGCGGGGGCGTGGCGGGCGTGCGCCCGTAAAATTTCAAAGCATTGGTTGACCTCAGCTTAATAAAAAATGTTTCGATAATTTTACCTTAAAAAAAAAATCAACTCGCTCCGCTCGGCGAAAATGTAAGTTTGCACCCCCTAACCTAAAATCCTGGTTCCGCCTCTATTCGAGTTTTCTGCCTTACACACCAGCCCCAACCATTTACAGAATTATTTTGTGTGCATTTATTTGTTTGGATATACATCAAATAATTGTCCCTAGATTTTAACCAAACAACAATCATAATTACCTTGGTCATTCACGTGACAAGTGAACGCGAAAATCAAGGAAAATGAAAAAAACATAGCTTGCTATGCTGTATGGGTTTTGCTCATTGTTGAAGGCCTTACGCTGACCTATAGTTGTTAACTTATACATCATTATGTCTTTGGTGGAGAGTTCTCACATTGGCAATCATACCAAATCTTCTTATCTTTATATAGTCAAATAGTGACATGTAAAATAACACTGAAAAACCGCACCAATATATATACTTTCTTAATATTATCTCACGATTACCACACCTATCACCTTTTTATTAAATTTAAGTCGAACCTGGCGGAACGAGACATAACGATCCTACATTCCGTCGTCGACATCGGCAGCGTCAACATTTAGGTTCATCTGTTGTGAAAGTTTTTCTTTAGATATCAATATCTTTGCCAAACCTCCATTGAATTTTACGAAACTTGGGCAGAAGCTTGTTTATGATCAAGTATCGAGAGCAAAATTTGGAAGATATTTTTTTTTCATTTTTCCTTATTGTTTCTGATAAATGAACATAGTTTTTTGGCACTAAACATTAAGATACAGTCTACGGTTAAAGGGATTTTTCAAAGTTACATCGAGAAGTGTTTTTCTGATAAAAAAAGGAAATCCAGAGCAAAATTTGAAGAACATTTTTTTTCTTCATTTTCCGTATTTTACTGATAAAAGGACTTATAATTTGTTTTAGCGTTTGTGTTGATTTCATTATTCCATATCTTACTGATAAGTCACACCGGTTATCCCGATCCGAAATCTACAGACGGACCAGAACCCAGAGGAGCATTTAATGAAAAGTTTGTAGCGGTGGGTAGGTAAAGCCTGGATCCGATTCCCACGGAGCATAATTCCTCCGTGGGAATCGGATCCAGATTTTACTTACTTAACGTTACAAATGGACTTTATTTTGCAGATACTTGAAGCGTTTTCAAGTTAAAGAAATAGCATATGAATAAAAAAAAGTAGATTTCTTTTATATTTTTTGCGTATTTTACTCATTGATGGACTCAGTTTATGGTCGTCAACGTTACATGCACGTTCACGCTTTCACACATAGATCCGTGGAAAACAACTGAAAATTTTGTATCTAATAGTTCCTTAGAAAAAATGAAAACAACACGTTATTAATACCATGTGTCCGAAGCGCTTCTCTCGATTTACCTTCATCAAAGCCGAATATTTGAAAGCATGCAGAGAGAGAATGTATAAGAACCGAATCAGTTGAAGAGTTACATGACCAAAAAAGTACCTAAAAAAATAGCAAAATTCATCTAAGGTCAACTATGCCAGTTTTGGTGGGGTTCTTGTTGCTCAGTCTATGTTGTGTTTTGTGTACTGTTATTTGTTTGTTTGTCTTTTTCTTTTTTAGCCATGGCGTTGTCAGTTTAATTTCGACTTATGCGTTTGAATGTCCCATTGGTATCATTTACCTCTCTTTTGACTGAGGAAGTTGAAACCATTTCAAAACGTATAAACGGACAATTTTAGTAAGGATTGTTATAAATCAGAAAGTAATGTGTTAAATAATTTGATGTGATCAATTCCTGTCTCACTATTTCCACTTTTCTTTAAACCTTAAAAGTAAGAACTGCACATCGAATATTGTAAACCTCGTGCATGCTGTTGTACTTTTTAGGACCCCTTGTGGAGTATACATGTATGTTGGTAAGAAAGTAACTTGGAAATTTAAGAAAAAAGCTTTTTATTTAGTAATACATGAGAAAAAACATCAAAGATTACTAAAATGAAAGTTCAGTTTTATCGTATGTAAAGAATTTCCCGGTGTCTTCTACACTCATCGAGTCAATAACTTCAAGCATCATTCTTACGGATTCTTCAGTACTAAACAGTTTGGGAACACCTTTGTGATATGGACGAGACAGGTCGGTATCTACAGTCCCCGGATGCAGAGATATACATGTGATTTTATTTTTTCCACGCCCAAGCTCTATGCTAAGATTTTTAGTAGCCATGTTCAAGGCAGCTTTAGACAGCCTGTAACTGTACCAGCCACCAAGACCTGAAATGAAAGCCAAGTAGATTATTAAGGTTCACACGACACGAAACACTCAAGGTTTATACCTAAGTAAAACTTGAGTAGATGATAAACTGCTAAATATTAGACATTTTTTCTGCGAAGTGGTTCAATAATAATGTTCAGATTGCCATTTACAGAATATATTTTCTGAATGAGAGGTCCAATCTTCCTTTGGGTCATATCTTAATTTCAACGGTTTTTTTTCTTCTTCTCTTGCTTGATCAGCTTACAGTCCTAGACAGCGATAATGTTAAAACTGTCGTGTCAAAATGTACATCACTACTTATAATTTTTAAACTGTACAAGTTGAATACTTTTGTAAATGATGATCTCAGTAGGGGTGTATTTCTTTAGTCACGATCATTATGACCAGGTACACTCTTACAGACACAAATAAGTAACAAGCGTGCACACGCTGAAATGTCTCGCCTGCTTTAATAATCATGAGTTATTTTGTGTTGATACTCCTAAAGATAACGTTTTATTACAAGTATCACATAAACTTAACTTTATCAATGATCCCTGAAAATGAGATTAATATATGGGTACAATTACATGTGAAACTTTGAAATGTTGTTTTGTATATCAATTATCATATGATTTGTAATGGAGAACACTAATGTAATATTAGTTATCTTATTAAAGAATCTGAATCTGAATCTGAATCTGAATCTGAATCTGAATCTGAATCTGATTAAGGTCAGATGAACCAAGCCAAAAAGACATGTACACCTGCCACATGTGGAGCAGGATCTGCTTACCCTTCCGGAGCACCTGAGATCACCCCCAGTTTTTGGTGGGGTTCGTGTTGCTTAGTCTTTAGTTTTCTATGTTGTGTCATCTGTACTATTATTTGTCTGTTTGTCTTTTTATTTTTGGCCATGGCGTTGTCAGTTTGTTTTCGATCTATGAGTTTGACTGTCCCTCTGGTATCTTTCGTCCCTCTTTTTTAATCATTAAACTTTAATTTTTATGTCGATTTAGATGTTGAAACTTTATAATTTAACTTTTTTTTTTTAAACATTTACATATTTTCACAGCTACATGTGAGACCACAATTAGAAATGAGTTGATCACATCTGTCGATCAAACTGACTTCTGAGTAACGGGCAAACCACAGAATAAACATGTAATGTAAATTGAAAATTATATTATAGCGGGTTTCTTTACACTATGTTCCCAATGTTGTTATTTTTTTAAGAGAGAGGGATTTATATAAGTTCTACTTGTTTCCGAATCCCTGTATTTATATTGTATAATTGTAATTTGTGCACTTTTGAAAAATAAAATATTGTTTGTTAAAACTAAACAAGAATGAAATAAATATCATCAGAATAAAACATCAAAAAGACATCTTCTTAATTGGAGGCGACTTCAAACTACCAGATATTAACCATAAAAAAAAAACAATATCCTATCTGGACCAACCAAACTTTCCTGGAGATTGAAGCTGACAATAAATTGGAACAAATTGTAGACTTCACACCACGCAAAGACAATAATCTGGATCTAATACTAACCTCTCATCCAGCATTTAAACTACGATGCAAACCATTACCACCAATAGGAAACAGTGACCATGATATCGTCCTACTAGATTTGGCAAACCATTACCACCAATAGGAAACAGTGACCATGATATCGTCCTACTAGATTTGGCAAACCATTACCACCAATAGGAAACAGTGACCATGATATCGTCCTACTAGATTTGGCATGCAAACCATTTAAACCAAAGCCAGTGAGAAGGAAAATATATTTATGGCAGAAAGCAGAAATACACAAGATAAAGGAAGACTTGACCCTATTCAACGCAACTTTCATAAACACCATAGACAGAAATGTTGAATTCATGTGGCAAGCATTCAAAAAAGCTATCCAAAACACTATATACAAGAGAGTACCAACTAAAATGAGCCAACGAAGACACACATAGCTATGGATAAACACCACCATTAGATGGAAAATAAATCAGAAACAAAAAGCCCACAAGAAGGCCAGGAAAACAAAAAAGAAAAGAGACAAGGATAGATAGACTCAAACAAGTGGCACAATGGGAAGTCAGGCAAGCCAATAAAAAATATATGGAAGAAGTAAGCGCCAATTATAAAGACAACTCAAAATAATTTTGGTCATATATAAAGATCAAAGGTCAACAATGGACAGGAGTAGCACCATCAAAGAATAGATTGGGATTTCTACAAAGGAATAATAAGAGCAAAGTTGAGATACTCAATGGACAATTCCAGTCAGTATCGGTATTTACATATTTACAAAGGAATACCTAAATAACTTTCCCAACAAAGGAAAAAGTCCATATTCCACCGTGGAAGATATTAAAATTAGCACCTAAGGAGTACACAAATTACTTAAAACCTCAAACCACACAAAGTTACTGGTCCAGACTCAATTCCATTCTTCATACTAATTGCAGCGGCAGACCAACTTTCTCCTTTTCTTACAGAACTGTACCAAATATCACTTAACACCGGTGAAGTCCCAAAAGATTGGAGAGATGATGTGGTATCCCTATTCAAGAAAGACGAAAGACGAAAGGCATTTAGCTTCCAACTACAGACCTGAGTCACTTACCTCCATCACATGCAAGGTCTTGGAACACATAGTCCATGGCAGCATAATAGACCATTTTGACAAACATAAAATACTAACTAATGCACAACATGGATTCCGCAAAAACGATCACGTGAATCACAACTAATCATAATCATCAACATTGCCAAAAACAAAGTGGAAAAAGGATCCCAAGTCGACATCGTTCATCAGACTTCTTGACTTTGCAAAGGCATTCGACAAAGTACAACACCATCGCCTATGACACAAACTAGAATACTATGGAGTTAATCCTAAAACTTACCAATGGATTCGTAGTTTCCTCGAAAATAGAATGCAGAGCGTAATATTAGAAGGAGCTGTCTCCTCTCAAGTCCCCGTACTCTGTTTCGTACCTCAAGGCACAGTTCTTGGACCTCTATTGTTTCTGACCTACATAAATGACATGCCAGAAACATCAACGTCATCTGAAACTAAACTATTTGCAGACGATAGCCTTCTCTTTAGAACAATCAACAACCAGGTAGAAAGTGACCTTTTGCAAAAAGACCTAACATTATTCGAAGAATGGGAGAATAAATGGCAAATGAGCTTTAACGTCAAAAAATGCATAGAAATAGAATAACACAGAAGAACAAAGAAGTTATAGATACTTAATACAAACTTCATGGACATACACTCGACAATGTTGATGCCAGCAAAAACCTAGGCGTAACCATCAGCAATAACTTATATTGGGATAGACACATTGACGACATTGTAGACAAAAGAAATAACACATTGGGATTTATCCGACGAAACCTAAAAGATTGCACTAAACCAGTAAAAGCGACAGCAGATACAGCCATGGTAAGACCTACAGTGGAATCTGCCTGCACAGTTTGGGATCCATCAAGCCAAACAATATCAAATCGATAGAACAAGTAGCAGCGAGATTTGTCCAACACAACTACACAGACCGAACACCTACAGTGGGAAAACCTGGAAGAACGAAGAAAAACCAACAGACTACAATGTATGTATGTTATTTAAGTTCCAGCATGGGCTAATAGATATCGACAGACAAAAATATCCAAATCCCAAAACGACAGCCGGACCAGAGGTAATGGCCGCTTTCTTCCCAAAGACCATCAGGGGTTGGAATCAACTACCATCTTAAGTCACCAACGGAGACTAACAGTCCACCAGGAGTGGTTTCACCGACCCAGTGCAAATAAATGAAAATTTACTCACCATTATCTGTAATAGACCCAACTTTAGCAGACATGTTAACAAGAACACCTGCATGTTTAATTTTTGAAATTTGTCTCCCAATGTCACCATTTCCCTTTCGTAGAAGGGGAGAAAAATATTTAGCCATTATCAATGGTCCTATTGTATTTGTTGCGAATGTCTGTCTCAGTCCCTGTAGAAAGAAAACCACAGTCCAGAAAATCTAAATGGTGGTTATTTTGTAAGTAGGAGTATATGGTCATATAAGGTAAACTAAGAGATAATCACTATCATACTATTAAATATTAAAGATAGGTCGGAGCAATTGCTTAGAAGCAAACAGCGAGGAGAACACTTTATAAGCTGTGATGCAAAAAGTGCCTTGATGAAGTAATTACCTCTTCGTATATAGAGTGTCTATAGTATAGCTCATTTGTACATCTGTATTTGTATAGTAAAATGATAGGCTCATTTGTACATCTGTATTTGTATAGTAAAATGATAGGCTCATTTGTAAATCTGTATTTGTATAGTAAAATGATAGGCTCATTTGTACATCTGTATTTGTATAGTAAAATTATAGTCTTATTAAAAAAGGGATCGGATGGCTATATTTACTCAAGTTATCTTTTATTTTTTATTTTTTTTTATTTTCATGATTTTACTATATTCATTATTTGAGTGTACTACTGTCTTTGCCATCAGCTGCGGCCCTAATTGCATTGAACAAAATCAAAATATCAACATAAAAACGTTGACTATTGAATAAAAATTGCGAAGGCATATTATAAAGGTCAAAGTAAAATGGTTGTTGCAGACTAAAAGCTTATATATTCCGTTTTTGTTATTGAACTTTTAAAGTTTCCATTTGGAGTTGTTTTGGGATATTGCAGATGAAGTAAGCCTTATTTCTTAGACGTGGCAAAGCAGGTTAGTGATAAGAAACGTTTTATATCTTTACCTCTGCCGTTACATCTCTCAAACTGGTTTCCCCTTTCCCTGAAGGATGAAGCATTCCAGCTGAATTAATCAACAAATCGAGTCTTCCATAACTTTCAGTTGTCTTGTTGCATACGTTTTCTATGTCTGTTGTCTTGGTGACATCCAACTGATGTATGTGTAATCTGTTGGGTACATCACTTTGTAGTTGTAACAATTCGTTGGCTTTGTCTGGAGATCTACATGTAGCGATAACCACTGACTGTGGATCCCTTGATAATAAAGACTTACAAAACTGCAAACCAATTCCTTTACTTGCTCCTTGTATCAGTGATATGGTGGTCATGATTCCTGAAAGACGAATATATAGATTAATGACTAAGGGCCATTTTTAAAGAGACACAGACATTTGGGCATGGATCCACTTTTCATTATTTTCTGTGTCACAGAATGATTTTTCAATAGCATTTCTATATATTTCTGACAGCTTACTTGCCTTGATTTAAAGTATTTTGTCTCATATCAAAAGAGTATATTATAACGGAGGCAGTTAATATAAATTGCCCCTCTACTCTAATGGAAAAAAAGGCGGAGAGGTGAGGCACATACAAGGGTGTTCTAATCAATGTACGCAAGGGTTGAATAAAGACAAACGGAGCAGTTCAGTGTCAAGAGGAAAGTCTGTCTGAACCATTAAACCATGAACTCAGTCCATAAACGTTCAGATTTATACTAGACTTGGCAGGGACAAAAAAAAAATATAGAAAGGAAAAGACGATTTCAATAAAGATGAAAAGAAGTCTATCAACTGATGGGCTAAGGAAATTCATTTTGACCTCATCAATCGTACTGGTATTAAAGAGTTCGTGACACTGTTGATTGATTGCTCTTGTTTAATATCAAGTGGCTCGTAACAAGAGATATTTAATGTAACCGGATTTTAGTACGAGGATAACGACAGTTGCTACTAGTGGTGCAGGACCAGTTTGCCCTTATATATATAACACACGTGTCCACAACCGATTGTGTGGTGGTTCGTGTTTATCGATCAAGTTTATTTTGAAATGCTTTGTGGAATGTTTCCTCGTTTGAAATGTTTTAGATTTTGTCATGTCGGTGTCTTTTATAGCTAACTATACGATATGGATTGTGCTCATTGTTGATAGCAGATCTGGAATAAAAATAAGAAGATGTGATTTATTTGTCGAACAGATGACTAAAATCTAATTAAAATACAGATTCTGTGTCCAAGATCTGCTGACAAGGCTCTGAAAACGCTCCGTTCTACTTTCTGGTTTAAAAGACCTTGTAAGCAAAGCTTGGACAGATGAGATGACTTTAAACTAATGGCAAAACTCAGGCCAACAAATAAAAAGTCAGCCATGATATATAGCAAAGGTCGCTGAAATTGGTGTTAAACACTAACAAACAAAAAAACAAGCGAGAAAATGATGAACTGAATGACATCCTACGATATTCAACAAATAGAGACTTCTGATTTTAAACGAGGTTAAACATGGTTGTGACCGCTTAACCCGCTCCGCTTTCCCCACAAAACCATAAGGACAGAATTATACAAATCGATTCAAGAATAATTCAGCTCAATATTTCAGCACTTTACAACAAAATCGTCGGAAATAACAAAGACGAAGTGTCGACCAAACAGTTTCAATTTGACCAAGAAAGAACATTTATGCACCCGAGCACTAACTTTTGTTTTAAAATATTTCAAAAGAGATATACATATTTACCCCGTTATTAAGACGGACAAAATTATAGGAAAGGTTTAGACTCATTGAAACCCAACTCTGGTTCAAAAATGTAAGCTACAGATAAAATTACAAAAGTTCTTTATTTATAACAAAAATGCCAAATACTGATAATGCTTATTACTGGATTCGAACTCACAACTCCAGTTTTATAAGGCTACTGACCCTATACTTCAATGAGGCAGCAACCAAACAACTAAAAAAACATATAGAGACTATAAGTCAAAATATTGTGGTCTTCAACATTAGATCGGGTCCTATACAATATGTCAAGCTCTTTTATTCAGCAAGAGCCTACAAAAAACACATAATCTTGCCGTTAGTTTTCTCGTTTGAATTGTTTTACATTTGTCATTTCGGGGCCTTTTAAAGCTGACTATGCGGTATGGGTTTTACTCATTGTTGAAGGCCGTACGGTTACCTATAGTTGTTAATTTCTGTGTCATTTGGTCTCTTGTGGAGAGTTGTCTCATTGGCAATCATACCACATCTTCTTATTTTTATACATTAAGATATGACATAAAACAACAAAAATCAATTCACTGCTGAAAAAATCACGAGTTACAATATATCAGTGTAAAGTTGAAAACGTGAGCGGTTATAATCTCAATGTCATGATTTATCATCACAGTATCTATTTTACGTTATTTCATTGGTTGGATCATGGAAGTAAAATGAGATATAATACTGCCATGGATGAATTTAGAAAGAAAACTAAGCTTAAGATGTCGGCACTTACAGTAAACGGACGAGACACCAAAGAAACCAAGTTTGGTCAACAGTTTCAATAACAGTGTTCATCAGGTTCTGGATCCAGGAATTTGCGCAGGTGGGGACAATAGTAGAGGCATCTGGAAGTTAATGACAAATCAGGATTTACATGCTGTTTTCTGATCGTTTTTTTTTTCTTTGCTTTTCTGTCTGTCTCTATCTCTCTCTTGTACTTGCAACCCATGGTTATGGTAGTTTTAGGGGCACACGTGCTCCCCGCCAGTGGCGTAGCTAGACAAATGTCGAAGGTGAAGCGGAAATCGGCAGGGGGCCTGGGGGCCGCTTAAATCTCCCCTGAAGCTCGTGGATTTTAGGGTTTTAGACCCACAAATATGAACTGAAAATATTGTGAATATTAAGGTGTAGTCAAAAGAATTTTTGTTTGATACAAGTCGGATAATTTTGTGAAAAAATATATTTTTTTCCTCAAAGAAACTGTAAAAACCAGGAGATTCCAGAGGGGTAAAAAAGTTATATTTACTGAGACCAGTATAATAAAAACCACAACATAATAAATTGTTTGGAGATTAAATGTAAACAATATATCCAGTTATAGTGAGTACCCAGGTTAGGGCAGGGTTGGCGCCTTCAAATTAGTTTAACCACGCCACATTCTGTATGTGCATGTCCCAAGTCAGGATCATGTCATTCAATGTACTGGTTGTCGTTTGTTGCTGTATATCATATTTGTTTTTCTTTCATTATTTTGTACATAAATCACGGCCGTTAGTTTTTCTCGTTTGAATTGTTTTACTTTGGTATTTCGGGCTTTTCGTAGCTGACTTAGCTGTATGGGTTTTACTCATTGTCGCAGGCCGTACGGTGACCTATAGTTGTTAATTTCTGTGTCATTTGGTCTCTTGTGAACAGTTGTCTCATTGGCATTCATTACCACATCTTATTTTTATACCAACCGATGGTCAGCGGAAAACAACTTACGAGGTCACCTAATGGAAAAAGACGAACAAATGGATATATAATTGATGGCTCGCCCTTGCCTTTGGCTGTATTAAGCAAACATCGTGTAAAAGCTGAGCAATATTTAGGACACATCATTATGCATGATTCTAAGTTTCCTGCCATGTTTTTCAGTGAATAAACTAAAAAATCTGTCTTTTTTTATTTAAAAAATACAAACTCAGTAAGGTAATTGTACGAGGAATATTTCACTTTGTAGATAGCCAGTCAAAACCTTATGCGTTGATATGAATTATTATAGAGTCACGAGTCAATCTCTCTCACCAGTGACTTTAAACAAAAAAGCAAGCCTCCTGTCCTTTTTGGTTGCAAAACAGTCAATAACTTTATCAATGTCAATGGGCGTCTCCTTGTATGTGTGAAGTATACATAGCCCCGAATGTCGTTCTGTTGTCATCGTAGAAGGAAGATATGTTTTAACCCGGTGCATGACACTGAAACTGCGTTCCAGCGGTGACAGTGGTCACTGGCATTGTCAAAAGAATAAGCAAACAAATGTAAATGTTTGGATACAGGTCAACGTTGGTCAAATTCAAGCTTTCTGCAAGAGTACCAGGGATTTCTTTACTCTTTCTCTCTCTCTCCTTTTCATTATTTTTTTTTATTATTATTTTTTATTATTTTTTTTTTTGTTGTCAAAACGATGTTGAAGTCTTGGCTTCCGAGCATCCGACTAGCTACGCCACTGCCCGCCCCGCTAAAATCCACCCCTGATGATACAGAAACCGTGTACAGGCAGTCTTTGATAAATATTTCTAATTAGTTAAAAGCATAGACATATAACTGCTAAAACTTAACGGTTAATTGTTTGTTTCAACAAAACTATAACATGTATAAGTTTGATAATTCGTTTTGTATCCGGATAGAAGAGAGATTTTCAATCTAATTTACCAACGAATTACCGGAAACACAAGATTTAAACATTTATTATCGATAATACAAGATTTCTTAGAATACGGATGTGGATATATGTGACAAATATTATCATATATATAAATCGTACATTGATAAACAAAAAACCGTACAGTAAATCTTTTTGTTACGGGTAATATATTTTTAATTGTTAAAAATAGACTGAAAAAAGTATCCAGTTGCCGAGTCCATGTGTTCCAAGTTTATCATTACAATAACGAGAAATAGATCAGTCTGTTCAGTAATGTTTTATTTAAAAATTCCGGCGGGAAAAAAAGTTGTCTCCCCGTTACAAAATAAACAGCTTATATAATGAAAAACTTAAAAGCTAATTATTGCAGCACAGTATGGAAAATTATACATACCTTTACCTTCAAAGATGCATAGAAGTAGTTACAAAATACTGAATATTCAAACTGATCCCCTGAACACAACAAACATCGGTTAACCAGTATTTTCAGCTAATGTGTATTTTGCTGCAAACTGTGACAAGGGAGATAACTCAAAATATTACTAAGTACTTTATGTAATTTATTATTTCGCAGACGGAATAGGACAGAACAAAATGTGTTGGATTCACTTCCCAAAGACCAAACTGAAAATATTAAATCATTATACCCGGGAATCCTATATATGGACAGTGCCTGTGAGAGAGCTTTCACATGTTTATTATATCTTTGTTCTTAATTGTTAATTATATATTATGGTGTTTGGATGTATAAATACTCATCCACGCCTGCTATTTTTATTTTATAAATGTTGACTTGGATGGAGAGTTGTCTCATTGGCACTCATAACACATCTTCTTATATCTAAGAACATTTGAATCGGCATTTTTTAAGCCGTCATCAGTGGCGGATCCAGAAATTTTCATAAGTGGAGGCCCACTGACTGCTTTAAGACTGAGGGGGGCCTCTCCAGTCATGCTTCAGTTATTCCCTATATAATCAACCAATTTTTTTCCCACAAAAGGGGGGGCGGGCCCCCTGTCCCCCTAAATCCGCCTCTGGTCATTATAACCGGTAGATCATACTGTATGATATCAGTATAATATACGGGTTTATGTGTCTCTTTTAGAAATGAGGACAGAAGCAGCTTATTTTTCATGTTTTTGTTTTATTATACAGTGTAATCTATATTTCTTGATTGCATCTGAGATTACTATAACCAGAGACATTATATTATAGGCCGATATGTCTTTGCTTTATCACATTTGTGTTAGTAATATTGCAATATGTGGTTCACGTTTGCTATTGCATTCCATTGATATATTGTTTTCTATTTGGTATTAAATCAATAGTTAAGATCCATTTTGTTACATCTGGTGATCCATTAATTTGGCAATCGCCAATGGCAGTCAGCAGGGTTTAAGGTAACACGATACCGAATGGCATATATCCCGATTTCTAAAATTTTTGGCACACTTGTACTTTGATTCGAGTTACATCGGAATATGAAATAAAAAATGGGGGTCACCATTCTTGTTTTTTTGTAATTTTGATAAGTAAATGTCAATTATGGCGCCAAATTTACATAGATATAAAGGGAAAATGCCTTTTTTTCGACTCTCTTTTCTAGATTTTTCAATGGATGACTATTTTCTCATACACGGAGAAAGACTAAAAACTAACATAATATCCAGGATTGTATACCAAATCCATACATGTATAAAAAAAACATATGTCACCATCCTTGTTTTTTAGATAAATCGCTTCAAAGATGAACGATACGCTTAGAAATTGACAAAAATATGTTACGTTACGGAATACAAAATAACGTTATTTTTATTCAGAGGGAGTGAAAAAAAAAAAATATGTAACGGGATCTGAATGGTGTTTGTTATTTTATTGTAATTCCCCCTGTCGGAAATTTCCTTATAATTCAATATAACATTCGACTGAGTTAAATTTATTTCGTCCTAACTGTGTGCACTTTTAGCTTTCAAAACTGAATCTTCAAAATAACCCTTCCAAACTAGACAATGCTGATGACACCGATGTATCCATGCATGAATGAAATAAAGTGCTTCAGAAATTTGATTTGGTAAACAGTGATGTTGAAGTACAATTTGAATTGATTGATTGATGGTTGCTTAACGTCCAGTGGCAAATATTTCATGAATTTTCAGGACAATACAATACAATTTGAAAAGTTATGTCTAAAAGATACATTTGATGCAGCCGTCAAAAAAGGTTGCACATTCTGTTAGTTGTGAAAATTATAAAGAAAATCAACATCCTGATAAAATACGTGTTCTATAAATATAAAATTAAAATTGAGAATGGAAATGGGGAATGTGTCAAAGAGACAACAACCCGACCATAGAGCAGACAACAGCCGAAGGCCACCAATGGGTCTTCAATGCAGCGAGAAACTCCCGCACCCGGAGGCGTCCTTCAGCTGGCCCCCTTAACAAATATGTATACTAGTTCAGTGATAATGGACGTCATACTAAACTCCAAATTATACACAAGAAACTAAAATTAAAAATGATACAAGACTAACAAAGGCCAGAGGCTCCTGACTTGGGACAGGCGCAAAAATGCGGCGGGGTTAAACATGTTTTTTGAGATATAGTATACTCTGTATGATGTAAACGTGTGGGTTGTGCGCGTTGTTAGTCGGACAAACGCTGCAAACTGTATGTAAAATTTCACTTGAATAGACAAAGTTCAGCATTCTGTCATTCGTGGAAAATTATTATAAAAAGTGATCCTGAGAATATATGCACCCTCAATATAGGTTAAAAAAAAGACTTGGTGCAATATATTATCAAAATGCCATATTCAGCAACCTGTCATAAAAAAATTAAAAACTGACAAGATGCGCGTATTGTCACCAAGTACATAATTTAAAAGTTAAAGCTTCAAACTGTAATCCTAAAAAAATCTGCCTTATTGGCAATCATACCACATCTCTTTATTTCATAAGCGATTGGGTTTTCTCCTGAAATACAAGAATTTTAAAGACTAACAAATACGTACTAGAAGACTGAAATATGTTGCTGTTATAGTTAAAATCTGACTTTTGCTGTGAACATGTGATTTTATAATTTGATAGATTTGATACTTGCCATACTAAATATACTTATTAATTAATTCAAGGGACCAACGAATCTTTACTAATGTCCGCTCCTCTTGTTTTTGAATTTTTGCCAGATATTCGGAATCCTCTGGTTTTATCCATGTAGTACCATTAAACAATTTTGCCCGCTAACCCCTTCTTTTCTTTTCATAATTTTATAACATCTAGTTTAAAATGCCATCTTTGAACTTATAAAATCCTTGTTATTTTTTCATTGTTTTTTAAAGAAAAAAGGTGCCAATGTTAAATGTATGAAGAATCATTTCCCGCCAAATTTTCAATGGCTTATATCTCGAAAACAAGCACAAGGACCCTTCATTTTTGTTCTGCTTTTTTAGTTTCTTCATTTATAAACTATCAATTTATTACAGTCTTTTAAAAAGCTTGTTATTTTGAAACAGAGTAGCGAACATCCTTAAGAACATCCGTTGTTCGACCCGCTAATCAAATGCGTTTTGTTAAGATATACTTTTTCACTTTTTTTGGTCTTTTGGAAAATGTTGTTAGTGCTGTATCTAGACCCCTCTACCAAGTAATTTGTTTTGCATCAGTTCTGCCAACTTTTAATAATGCAAATGCGTGAGATTTGGCCAAAATCGTAAACATCAAAGGAAAATGCCGCCAAATAAGCATGAAAATGCGCGAATGCGTGAGACTTGGCATCCCTGTTGCATGCACACGTAAAAAAATTGCGGTTTTTAGCCAACACAATCATAGGTTTGAACGTTGTTTTCAATTTATACTTATTTATATATATATATATATATATATATAAATCATTCTGTCACCCGTTTAGATCAAATAAGGACGTATTCCTTGGATCAATTGATAAAAATCTTCAGAATCGAAACGACAAGACCAAATTTGGTCAGATTTTAAATGCGCATGTCTAATTCAAAACTTCCGTTCTGCCAAAATCACTTCCGGGGTTTGCCGGGTTCTGAATCACACCTTTGCTAAAGTTAACTGATATAAACTGAAATTTCAAGCATACCAGACATTCTGAAACATGACAGATACAATTCCTAGTAAGACTATGTATATTTCTTTCTAATTTTCATTTAAATTGTAAGGCAATGAACGAAAATGTTTACTAATCTGATGTTTTCCGGTTTGTTTACATTTTAAAATATTTTATTGCTATAGTATGTCTTGTATAGGAAGGATTGCATATAATACTCATACAATTGTGTTTTTTCTTAATGAAAACAATTTGAAAATCGTCTGGACGCACTAAGTTTCCTGTTTTACACGCGTATTGATTGAAAAGGTGTTCAACTAGTCTAACAGAACAGAAGCCCCTCACCTACCCCAACACACAACATGCAGATCCATACAGTTTTACCAATGTGATGTTTAGAAAGTAAATTTTATTCATGTGATGAGTTTAAAATGGATTTGGTTGAGATTACTTCACATGTAAATTACAATTTCAGCATCTTATGATTACTTAAAATGCTTACATTTTAGAAAAGGGAAATACAGTAAAATGTGATTATGTGGTTTGCTCACAACCTGATTTATGTGTAGCAGATCACCGCCCTGAGGAAGGGGGGACTACTGTAGTTAAAGAACACCTTTTCAAGCAGGTACCAAATGGATATTCAAACTCTTTAGTCGAAAACAAACTGACAATGCCATGGCAAAAACTGAAATACATTAAAAAAAACAAGTGTACAAAACACAAAATAGAAAAATAAAAGCCTGAGCAACACAAACCCCATCAATAACCAGGGGTGATCTCAGGTGTTCTGGAAGGGCAAGCATATCCTGTGCCACAGTTGTCACCCTTCATGCTGCTAGTTGCAGTACAAAGTCGGTGATGAGTCTAATTCAGTAGGTCACATTTGTGGAAAAGAAGACAGGATTGTGGTTACGACAGTTGGAAGATATCAGTCCTTATCTGTGAAACAGTAATTCCATAACAGTCAAGCAACATGTGCGGGTACATAAAAATACTGGGCATCCGTCCAGTAGTGTTAGCACTCTCAAATAATCAATTCTTGTCAGATTTTTATGAAACTTATATCAAAGGTTTATATCAGCAATGTCTTGGATAGTTTTAAAAAGTCAGTTCTGATTAATTATTTTTAAAAGAGTTATGCCCCTTGGAAACATTAATTATATGGAAAATTGCATCGCTAGTGCTCTCATTTGTACAATTCTTGTCAGATTTTTATGAAACTTATTTCATAGATTTATATTAGCAATGTCTTGGACGAGTTCGAATGTCAGTGCCGATCAATTATTTTTAAAAGAGTCATGTCCCTTGGAAACATTAATTACATGGAAAATTGCATTGTTAGTGCTCTCAAGTGTACAATTCTTGTCAGAATTTATGAAACTTAAATCATAGGTTTATATTAGCAATGTATTTGATCAGTGTTGATCAATTATTTTTAAAAGAATTATGCCCTTGGAAATATTAATTATATGGAAAATTGCCTTATGGGCGCTCTAATCAGGCCATAATCTTGCCGGCGAAATGACGATTTAAGTCGCCAAAGAATTTTGAAAATCGCTAAATCTCGCCGGCCGACTGACTTCATAGCGAAGTCAAATCGCTATCAAAATCGGTATAAGGGAGACAACTTGTGATTGACAAGTCTCACAGGTAAAAAAAATGGCGGCTGACAAGGAAAATCGAGATTTTCAAAACGACCCAGGACTAATACTGTAAACGATCAAATTAGATAAATACAACGGCGACTTTGAACATCCTCGGATATAACTTTCAAGACTGTTCAAACGGAATACTGACCGCCTGTTTAAGTTATCGTATTACGATGATTTTCATCTGAGGATGTTGCGTAATCACTCAGCTGATTTGTTTTATTTTTATTACCTACACGAGTCGATCAATTTTACTATTCGGTAGATAAAGGATGGGAACTAACGGTAGATTTATTATATTCATTGAATAAAAATTGAAATATAAAAGGTAGAAAGACAGCTGATGGATAATGTGATTGCAAATGTACGACACTCGACCAGATTGTAATCAGCAGTGGATTTTTTCTCATTACCACTTCGTTGATATGGATGATATTTTTTAAAAAATGATAGAAATTAGCTCTTTATCGGATAATTATTTTGCGATTGAAAGATATTTTTATTTATAGACTTACAATCTTTAACGATAATCTTAATTTACAACTAACATAAATGTGCTGGACATTCAATAATGTTTTACAAAATAATGACAAGTGGTGATATAAATTAAATTCCCAGTCATGTGAAATTCATCAGGTAAACTGAGAGTCATATTTTTCTGGAGTTTTAAAAATAAATTGAGGCAGATGCACATGAATTTAATACATCATAATCTTGATAATATTATATTACTAGGCTACTCCCTCATATCTCAATCAACAAATTTTATTTAGAACACATTATGGTATCAATAAATAAATAACAACTATATATTGTCTAAACCTTTTTATTAAGAACTTTCTATATATACATTGTGTACAATAACATATGAAAAAACTGCAAGTATATCTTTTATTGAATATAAAACAATTTCCTTAGTGATACATGTGATAAGCATGAAAACACGATGCAACCGAAACAATAATGGAATCTCACTTCTCCCTTCTCTCTCATGGAAGGAGAAGTCACTTCTCCCTCTTAAAAATCCTAGATTAGGCCCTGGCTCTAATGTGTACAATTCTTGCCAGATTTTTATGAAATTTATATTACAGGTTTATGTCATCAATGTCTTTGATGAGTTCAAAAATCAGTGTCAATCAATTATTTGTAAAAGAGTTATGCCCCTTGGAAATATTGATTATATGAAAAATTGCATTGTCAGCGCTCTCATGTGTACAATTATTGCCAGTATTTTATGAAACTTATATTAGAGGTTTAAATCAGCAATATATTTGACACTTTTTAGAATAAGTGATGAACAAATATTTTTAACAAGTTATGCCCCTTGGAAATATTAATTATAATGGAAATCACATTGCATTTGCTCTGAAGCCTTCATTTCTCTAAGATATTTATAAAAGTGTTAAAGAACAAAAAAAGTGCTTTTTTTGGTTATTGCCCTTGTACCTTGGAAAGATAAAATATATGCAACGCGGGGGACATTGGAACTCTGTTCTTTTATTGATTCTTGATATACCATAGTACTTTCAAAGAATTATTTTTCAAATGTCAGTCATATTTATAATCTTACTCAAATTGGGTAAGGGGACCTATTTTTTAAAAATGAGACACAAAAAATAGAATTTCTGAAAAACATTTTAGATGGTCAAGGAAGTAAATTACACTAGTTTTGAAAGAGGATTTTTTTGGTTGCATTTTATAAAAGTACTGCTGATATGGTAAAAGGTCTTGCTTTTGGGGAATTTCAAACTTCCATGTGAATTTACAACAAAGGAAAAGTGATTCTTAAAATAATATATAAATGATATTGAAAATTAAAACCGGTTCTGTTTATCCATTTTTTACAAAGATATAAAGTGTACTTAAAGATACTGGATTCCCAATCTCTTAATGCATAGGAAATTATCAATGTTAAACTAAAATCCTAGGGTATGCCACTTTAAATCAATATTGCAATCTCTGAAAAACTGTGAAAGTACTTTTATTTGTGGGTATCAATTTTCGTGGTGTGAGCAAAAGTTGCATGTTCTTGGGTTCTTAAATTCGTGGATTTTAGTTTTCTGAAGAAGAAAAAATCAAGTGAAGAATATGAAATCATCACCAACGATTTTTGTTTGTTAAAAAACATAAGTTCAACAGTTGTTTTATAATGATTTGTGGGAGATTGCAAAATAAGGTGTTCATTTTTACTTACTTGATTGTCTTTTATTACTGACAACATGCATCAAATTTTTAATAAAATAATTGCTGTTTCATCATTTCATCTACATGTATGCTTACAAATAGTCTTGGTTGACAGAAATTGCAAAGTAAACATTTTAATTGTTGCACATGTGTACATGGTGTAATCAGAAGTGATGACACTTGTTAATTAGATATTGAATGGTCAACAGATTAACGATCATCAAAGGTGTTAATTGGGCCATAAAAATGTCACATAAGGAATAAAGTTACATAAAAAAATTCTACAAATGTACTTTGAAATGTACAGTTAAATCTTGTAAATAAAAAGAAAGCCCAATATCATTTTTTTTTTCATACGAAAATTATGAGGAGATAAAATGAACACTTCACCATCGCACATCATCACCAGAAGTCTGACTTTTGTAATTTTATATGAGAATTACAGATTAAATTTTTTAAAGATTAAATTGGTAAAATCTGTCTGAAGGTGTACATGTATCACATGTGTATATATAGTTCATAGTGCATTTGCTGATATTCAATGTATTCTCTAGATTATATGCCTGTATCTATGTAGTCAAACCTACATGGAGATCTTTGCATGTCTTGATTTGTACAACAGTTGTTATATTTCATTGGACACTTAAATTGGTGGATAAAGCCATCCACAAAACCATGAAAATTTGTACTCCATGAATAAAAGTACTTTCACAGTAAGTTTTTTAGAGGAGGGAGGATGTAACATGAGGTGATTTATCTGTTTTGGATATATTGTTCTGGTTATATCCTGTTGGAATAAAACCTTGTTTTACATGTAGCTTCAGTAGAATTTATAGAGCACCTGGATACAGTAGCTGGACAAACTGATAAATTATACTTTAATAGCTTGCATTAATGAACAATTCTGCCAACGACAAACAAAACTTAAAATACTATATATATCTTTGTCTAGTTCACAAGAAAAAAAAAGAAGTCATTTCAATTTTTTTTTCTTTAATAGGATGTGTTTTTGCTTCACTGCCAAGGACAACAAGAGGTGTGCCAATAGTGTTAGGAGGAGATCCTAAAGGCAAAAACTTTCTGTACACAAATAACAACAGTGTTTTTATTAGGGATATTTCAGTAAGTAAAAGAAAACAATTTATTATACCCCTCATTTTTTGAAGTGAGTGTGGTACAATGTATATAGTAATGTCAATGTAATTTAAAAAATCTTCTCCTTTGAAACTGCTGAATCAATTTCAGCCAAACTTGGGCTGAATGAGGTTCAGAGTATCTAGTATAAATTTTGTATTTTATTTTCTTGTACGTCAAGAAACATAGCCACTATGGCTAAAATGAAACATAGGGGTAAAATGCATTTCTTTGATTTTGAAGAAAATATGACAGATACAAAGAACATTTCAATGGAAGTTTTAAGCTATTCGTTAATATATATTGAAAAGTAAAAATAATCATTGATGAAAGATTTAAGCAAAAAATTACAGGTGAGCGATTCAGGCTGTTGAGAGCCTCTTGTTTGGTGTAAAGGTTCAAGTGTAAACAATTCTAATAGCCAATGGCTGGTAAGCTACATGTATATATTAGCCTTTTTTCAACTTTTGTTTTGAGAGTACACACAATGTAGTGCACTGTGTACATCCATTAAATTCTAACCATGTTCATATCATACAAATTATTGATGATAAATTCTAACCATGTTCATATCAAACAAATTATTGATGATAAATTCTAACCATGTTCATATCAAACAAATTATTGATGATAAATTCTAACCATGTTCATATCAAACAAATTATTGATGATAAATTCTAACCATGTTCATATCAAACAAATTATTGATGATAAATGCTCCAATATCAAATTTACATAGGGAAATGTGTTTATTTGCATATTTTTCATTGTAAAAATAAGGAGATGTGGAATGACTGTCAATGAGACAACTATCCACCAGAGTTCAAATGAAGTGGATGTAAGCAATTGTCAATTTACCAAATGGCCAAAATATCATGCATGTTTCTTCACAGTGATTAATTTTTAAAAGTTCAATATATGCAAAATGAAAGCAATCCCGGTGATACCAAGCACTATGATTGAATTCTGTTTCTGTGATAATAAATATATTATAAATTTTAGGACCCAGCAGTAGCTGACATTTATACACAGCATTCACTCAATGCTATTTCAGCTAAATATTCTCCAAGTGGATTCTATATTTGTAGTGGAGGTTAGTAGCAAGTTTTATCAAAAGAAATAAATTAGAGCATGAACATAATGGACAAACAAAACAAATATATATATTTTTTAGACATTAGCAAACATTTTTGTGTAATTGGCTTTACATACTGTTCATAATAAACTTCCAAAAAAATTGAAAAAATCTAAAAAAAGTTGTTGATTTAATGTCTCATTAAGAGCTGACTTGGTCAGATGTATTGATATCAACATCTAACAAAGCAATCTATTCAAACTTGACCAAGGACCTGACACGTCTCATTAAGAGCTGACTTGGTCAGATGTATTGATATCAACATCTAACAAAGCAATCTATTCAAACTTGACCAAGGACCTGACACGTCTCATTAAGAGCTGACTTGGTCAGATGTATTGATATCAACATCTAACAAAGCAATCTATTCAAACTTGACCAAGGACCTGACACGTCTCATTAAGAGCTGACTTGCTCAGATGTATTGATATCAACATCTAACAAAGCAATTTATTCAAACTTGACCAAGGACCTGACACGTCTCATTAAGAGCTGACTTGGTCAGATGTATTGATATCAACATCTAACAAAGCAATCTATTCAAACTTGACTAAGGGACCTGACACGTCTCATTAAGAGCTGACTTGCTCAGATGTATTGATATCAACATCTAACAAAGCAATCTATTCAAACTTGACTAAGGGACCTGACACGTCTCATTAAGAGCTGACTTGCTCAGATGTATTGATATCAACATCTAACAAAGCAATCTATTCAAACTTGACCAAGGGACCTGACACGTCTCATTAAGAGCTGACTTGGTCAGATGTATTGATATCAACATCTAACAAAGCAATCTATTCAAACTTGACCAAGGACCTGACACGTCTCATTAAGAGCTGACTTGCTCAGATGTATTGATATCAACAACTAACAAAGCAATCTATTCAAACTTGACCAAGGGACCTGACACAAGCTTGACGATGTACAAATGCCTTCACCTAAAGTGGTGTTAGGGACTGTCTTGACCTTGCAGAGAGGTGTGAGGCTCAGAGCTATTACTCCATGTTGAAGGCCCCAATCTTAATGTATGATTTATTCACTTGGAAGTGCCATCATTAATCATGAAAATTTGATAAAAAAAAAATAATACCATAAAACAACTGTGAAAAGTTTCAAATTGAAGTTCCTATATTGTACTATACTTGATTCTGTATGTTAAGCTATAAAAATGTACACACATATAAAAAACTTCTAAATATTTACCAGTATCTATTTTTTTCAATGAAAAAGTACAGACGTAGATGAAAATCTGATCATTAATGTCCACAAGTTGTGAGGTTGAACCATGCTCATGGCCAGATGTGATTGACTAGGATATTAATTGACAAGTATTTCTAGTTTTCTTGCCAAAGGGTACTTCACCTTCCTACACCAATAAAAACTTACCACCATGATATCACCAACTAAGATGAAATTGGTGTTTAACACAAACAAACAAACAACCAAATGTTACTACGAATAATAACATGTTTTCTCATATTGCTGTTTATATATTTGGTAGATGCTGCAGGAAAGGTCAGAATTTGGGACACAGTTAACAGGGAGCATATATTAAAGGCAGAATACCAGCCTTTAGGTGGCTGTGTCAAGGACATTGCATGGTCAGGTGACAGTACAAAGATTGCAGTATGTGGCGAAGGACGAGAAAAGTATATATTTTGAAATTTTAGGTTTTGTAAAGTTTTTGGCTATTTCTTTAAATAATTAATTGCTTTCTATAAAACACAAGAAAAAAAAATTACTTCTTATTCTTCACATAAATTAAATAATGAATTTTAACATTATCTTATAAATTAATATAGTATTTTGTCTGTGGAATACTAGAAATTAATTATCAATTTTCAATGTAAAGTTTTCTGCTCAAGTTAGTTTGATAGGAACTACTTATGATAGTCAATGATATTTTCTATAAAGTTGCATATATGCTGTTAACAGGCTGCCCTCTATGTCATGGTCCAGCAACTTTGAATTAGTAAGCAATGTTGCTGTCCATCAGATTGTCTTTTTCTGAATTTTCTGCCAACAAGCAAGACATATATCTCTGTGTGAACAGTTTATTATTTCAACAAAGCCCTCTAGGTTACACAGAAAAATGACACTCTGTTGGGTAAATGGAAACATAATCTTTTATGAACCAAATAACATCTTTATACTTTTTGAATAATTGGAATACAAATACCTCGGTATTACAATGTACCTTAGAATGACACAGAAAATTCATATAACCTTTGTTATTTTATGAATTTTTTTTTTTTTAGAGAATTTGAGGTTATAAAAAAATTAAATCATATTTTATTTTTATGCCCCACCTACGATAGTAGTAGGGACATTATGTTTTCTGGTCTGTGCGTCTGTTCGTCAGTTCGTTCGTCTGTCCGTCTGTCCCACTTCAGGTTAAAGTTTTTGGTCAAGGTAGTTTTTGATGTAGTTGAAGTACAATCAACTTGAAATATACACATGTTCCCTATGATATGATCTTTCTAATTTTAATGCCAAATTAGAGTTTTGACCCCAATTTCACGGTCCACTGAACATAGAAAATGATAGTGCGAGTGGGGCATCCGTATACTATGTACACATTCTTGTTCAATTTTAGGTATGCCCATGTGTTTAATATGGACTCAGGAACTTCAGTTGGAGAACTAAGTGGTGTTGGTAAATGTTGTCTTACAATTGCATTTAAAGAACAGAGGCCATTTAAAATAGCTATTGGTTGTGAAGATAAGAGTGCTGCATTTTATGAAGGCCCACCATTTAAGTTCAAAACATCATTTAAGGTACAGTACATAGATTTTATAAACTTTCCTTAGGATTTGGTATTAAAATCCAATCTAAAAGCAATAACCCAATTTTTCCCTAACTTTTGCCTTATAATTCCCAATCAGATGTCATTTTCCCTGAAAAAGAGGTAATACAATACCAAGCAGGGACTAAACAATCCTCTTGTCCAATTTCTAAGTGTTCTGTATGGTAGATAAAACATCTGACTTTGTCCGAGCATCATTTTCTAGTGGACAAATAAGTAGAAAGGGGAATGAATTGACATTTGACATGGTTAATGATTCTCAATCTACTAAAACAAGGAATACAACCCTAATCTTGCATCATTTGGTTCATTTACTGAGTATACAATATGTTTTGAACATCTAAAATATGAATACTTTCTGTACTGTCTAGATATTCTGAAAAGTACATTAAATAAGGATAGTACAGTCATCTTATCTACTGTTTCTTGAAGCTTATGATTAAACAGATGCAAAGAACAATAAAACTAGATGAGTGATACCATCGGGTATTAGTATAAAATTGTGTCTGACAGTTACATACAGTTTGTCAGAAATCGAAACTAGAAGGTATTTGCAAATAGGATCATAAAGTACATTATATTTATTGTTTTTTTTCAGGACCATACCAATTTTGTAAACTCAGTTAGATATGCACCAGATGGAAGTGTATTTATAACAGGAGGTGCAGATTGTAAGGTAAGTGATGAGTTTTATGATGTGTGCCTGCTGTGTATTTATAACAGGAGGTGCAGATTGTAAGGTAAGTGATGAGTTGTATCATGTGTACCTGCTGTGTTTTTTTAACAGGAGATGCAGATTGTATGGTAAGTGATGAGTTGTATCATGTGTGCCTGCTGTGTATTTATAACAGGAGGTGCAGATTGTAAGGTAAGTGATGAGTTGTAACATGTGTGCCTGCTGTGTATTTATAACATGAGGTGCAGATTGTGTGGTAAGTGATGAGTTTTTACATGTGTGTGCACGCTTTTTCAAATTGATCACACACCTACCTCCGGTATCAGATACTTTGAATTTTTCAACACCTTGTTTTGTTGAATGAACTTATAAATTTTTTTCACACATTTCTTAAGTACTGTGGAACAGAATTACTTCATATTCGGTCAGCAGCTTGACAGTGATGAGCTTTTCAGATATGTCTGACACCTACTTCCTGTTTACTGATACTTTACATTTTTTAATACGCGGATTGAACTTAAAATTTCTTTCACACTTTTTTCCAGAAGTACTGAACATAATGACTTCAGATTCATCAAGCAACTTTGTTCTGATGAGTTGCAATGTGCTTTTCAGAATTGTCAGATACAAACTTCTTGTTTTTCCATACTTTGAATTTAGAGTGGGGTTATGTTTGGCGTACAATCATTATGCCTGGCCGTCACTGGAGGGGGCATTAAGTGTTACCCTTGTCCATATGTACATCCCAAAATTGGTTTTCTTGCTTTAACTTTAGTTTGCCTCAACCAAATGTTATGAAACTTATACACAATGCTTATTACCACAAAAAAATAGATCAAGTTCAAATTTGGGTGGCGTCACTTTTACCGTTCTAGAGCTTTGTCCTTTACAAATGGAAAAATTGCTGAATTTTTCGTTTCCGTTCTATATAGTTTGCCTCAACCAAATGTTATGAAACTTATACACAATTCTTATTACCACAAAACTCAGATCAAGTACGAATTTGGGTGGCGTCACTTTTGTAGGTTGAGTTATAGCCCTTTATAGCGCTATATGCAAGTGGGGGCATCATCTGTGTCCCATGGACACATTCTCCATTTATTTTTTATAAAGTATTCAGTTTATACTGTTAGACAAATTTTGACAACACTGTTTAGATAAAAGCTGGTAGACCACTGGAACAACTGAATGAGAATTATGATTTTTTTTCATGAAAAATCAAACATTCAGCCAAATGAAAATATGATTGGCTGTCTTTAAATGGTAGAATTTAATAGGTGAAGAGCATGCAAACTTTAGAATGAACTGGTTTTTGGCATACCTTTATTTTTTTCAGGCTTTTGTGTATGATGGTAAAACAGGAGAAATGATTGGAGAATTGGGTATGCCTGCACATAAAGGTGGTATTTATGGTGTAAGTAGACTAAAATCCTATGAGACATGGTTCATTCAGGTTTTATTAATTGCATGAAAAGACTTTTATGTCATGATGTAGACTATGAATTTAAAATTTAATGTGTGTGATTATTGCACAGGAAATAAAACCTTTCCGCAGTATCAAGTGGTGTTTATCAGGATATTTAAATTTATGCAAGGTGAACTGTCCCATTGAATAAATATAATCACTATTGTTCTTTGTGGAGTTCATTTAATGGAAGCTTTAAATTTCTCCAATCCTTAGTAAACTTTTACTGATTATTTTGATGAAATTTTGTAATATACCATCCCCCCTCCCCTAAAAAAAGAGAAAAAGGAAATTAAAAAAAATGCAAATCACTAAAATGTTTACAGTATAAATTCATTGGAGAAGTGGATTCACCCATTGCATCTTCTGCATCTTTCTTTTTTCACTTTACAGTTACATTTTAAATATTTACCAATTATTGGATTTTAAAATTTGTAAATATACTGGCTTGGATGAAGAAATATTGTATGTTACTTGATGCAATGCATGAATCTATTTATATAATTCTGTTCTACCAGTTATATGCTGTGTTGAAGACCCATTGGTGGCCTTAGGCTGTTTTCTGCTCTTTTGTTGGGTTGTTGTCTCTTTGACACATTCCCCTTTTCCATTCTCATTCTAATACAGCAGACTTTTATATACCAGTATTAAAAACATAATTGCTGTATGATGTTCAAGATTATAACTAAGCATCTCGTATACTTTCATTTGATATTAAAAAAAACACTGTAATTTTACATTTAATCCCTACCAAATGATAAAAAGAAAAGAGAACCATAGAAAAGAATAGAACTGAAATATTTCATAAAAGAAGTTTATTAAAATGTATACAGGACCATAAACTGGTTTCTGAAAGTATTATTTCATTACTTTGTTACAGATGTGTTTTAGTCCAGACAGTTCTGAAGTTTTAACAGTATCTGCTGATAAAACTGCCAAAATATGGAATGTAGCTAGTAGGGAATTAGTTGTGTAAGTAGATGGTAGTGAAATAGCTTACATATAAGAACCACAAAACTTTTAAGTGATTTATCAAGGGAATAATAAAGACAGGTCCTAAAGACATATATATATCTGTTAACTTGGTGTTCTACATTATTTTCTATTTATAAACTTAATTATTGGTCTTACAATTACCTTATGTCCAGCTATCCAACCTCATAGGCAACTTGGAAATTTAAGTTTCAAAAAAGTTCTAGTGTAATAAACATTTTTCCTTTTTGGTTGCGCTTTGTCCTGCTTTACAAAACACACATCAAGGTCAAATTTGACTCATTTAAGATTGTAGTTCCTGAAACTGTAGTTCATGTTTTATGTAATGTAAGGGAAGTCTGATGTTTAGCTTGTAAAAAGGGTGAATGTTTAGAGCTAATTTCCTATTGCTTATAGAATGAGACTTTGGTTGGCTTGCTTGCTTTTTTTTTGTATAAATGTTTGCTCAAGCATTGTAATTAAGATTAACATCTGCAAACAATATAAATAGGCAGTGTTAAACCTGTATACATTATATATTTAGATTCCTAACCTCCAGGATAACATCCAATCAAATTTAAGTATAATGTATACGGGTTTAACTCTGCCTTTTTATATTGTTTGCAGATGTCAATCTTAATTACAATGCTTGAGCAAATATTTATACAAACAATGCAAGCAAGCCAACAAAAGTCTCATTCTACAAGCATTAGGAAATCAGCTCTAAACTCTTGTTAGAATTTATGTTTAAATTAACATTTGTATCATTGTTTGATTACAGATCATTTGAAGTGGGGAAGACTATAGATGAAATGTTGGTTGGTTGTCTATGGCAAGGAGACAATATAATGGCTGTAGCTCTTTCTGGTTACATATATTACTTCAACAAAAATGATCCATCTACACCACTAAAAGTTACCAAGGTATTATTAGGTTCATTTGATATAAGCTATAATGAAGTGTGTTTGTTTTAAATGGTACTGTATTTTGATACACAAAAGTCCAACTTTTAAGCCTTAGGAATTCAAAGAAATACCTGCCCTGTATGCTGTATTTTTTCAAGACCTTCAATAAGTGTTTGAAATAGAAAAAGGTTCTATTAAGTTTACAAAAGTCTCTGTTGTGGCATATTTGTTTTGTTACCAGTAATGTCAACTCTTTACAGGAAAAGCTTGACATAAATTGTTCTTTTTAATTTTTTCACATGTTTGTGCATCAAATTTAAACACTTTTCGCATTGAAATTATATTCTTAGTATTGGGGCCAAATTAGGGCCCTTACCTACTACTTATTTCAATTTGTTAACACCATATTCAACAAAAACAAAAACAGGATGCACAAATTCTTTCAGGCTTTTGAATAGTTCAGGATTTCAGACAGAACAAATAAACAAATTAACGAAGCTTTTAAAAAGTTTTTTGAGTACTGTGCCCACTTTCTTTAACTATTATTGGTGGTAGGATAAGTAAATTCAATTTAAGTTAATTAAAGAAATATAACTAAAGCTGACAATGGGATGTACTTACAGGGATACTTTTATCAGTTAAGGAAAAAATTGAGATGTGGTATCATATTAATTGAAAATATCAAAATATCAGTTTTATTGAGATATGGTATCTTATTAATTGAAAATATCATAATTTCAGTTTTAACAGGATTAAATTCTTTAATGCTGATAGATTGGTGGTTGTTAAACATCCGTTTTCATATATATCTTTCATCATAACTTTGATTTTGAACATTCTAAATGTTACTTATGTGTATTTGAACAACCTTTAAAGAAGATAGATATTTGGAGAGCTACCTGCCTTGAATTCCCTTCTAAGAAAACCCTCTAAAAGGTCTGTTCTCTTGCTGTTTCAATGACTGCCAAATCAGAACCAAACACTTGACAATTGCATCAGATTTATCTTACTTTCAGGGACACAACAAACCAGTTACAGCTATGGCAGTCAGTGAAGACTGTTCTACTATTTATACAGGGGATCAGTCTGCAAGAGTTGATATCCTTGCATTTTATCTTTGACATCCATCACATGAAATCAAGTTGTTGTACAAAGCCATATTACGAAGACAAAACATCTTTGTACAGCACTGAAGATCCAGGACTTAGAACAACAACGGAAGAGCTTTTTCATTTATATATTGATTATTTCTGAGTATAGTGTATGTGGCTATTTTTAGATCAGGTTTTGTTCTTGGTTTAGGCCAAAGAAGAGCTGTTAAATCTTTGCTATGTTTATTGTATATGTGTAACAGCAGTGTACAATGCATGTAAATAAACAGTGAAATATGTTGGTATGGTAATTTTTGGAATAAACTGCCAACTAGGAACATAACAAAAATTAGACACATGCAGAAATTTCCCAACATATGGTATGACATGGGATCTCAGGTTTATCAATTCCATATCTTTTTTTTTCCCAGGGAATCTTGTTATAGCCCTGAGTAATTAAGTTAGAATATATTCAAGGGACAGAGTGATTCTGTGCAACACTGTATGAATTGAAATCATTGAAAAACTTGACAAAACAAAGGTATTTTCTAATAATAGTAATCAATAGGAGTCCCATTCAAGTTATTAAGGATTACTGATAAAATGGCTTAACAATTTTTTATTATACAAAATATTCCTTAACTTTTGCTTACTTCTATGGAATGCTGCATCTGGTGAAAATGATGTTTTTAATGGTAAAGGTCATAGTAACCAAATACAAGACATGGTTGTTGCTGATGGTAATCTGATCTCAGTTTCCATGGATGACACAATACGATTTACAGATCTTAGTCAAAATCAATTTGGGTAAGTTTTTTTAACAAGATTTAAAATTCAATAATTAATGTTATTGAAACAGAATAATTGTTAATGAAAAAAATCAGTTGGAACCTTTGAAAAGAAATCTAGAAGGTAAATTCTAACCAGTCAAATTTTGAGTCTTTTCTTGATATTTTTTAAAATGTGTTTTTATAGATGTATCTTATTCTTGCCAGTAGGGTCATTTATATAAAACCAATTCATAATATACTTAGGATTACCAATAATTACACTTTTCCGAGAGGTAAATGATGATGTAAAGACTGTGAGTCAGCTCAAGAAAAAATGTGTTTAATCCTTATATTTCTAAATCAAGTATTTGTTGTTTTTTAAGTTAAGACTTTTTTTAGCTCACCTGGCCAATAGGGCCAAGTGAGCTTTTCTCATCACTTGTCTTCCCGCGTCCGTCGTCCGTAAACTTTTACAAAAATCTTTTCCTCTGAAACTACTGGGCCAAATTTACCCAAACTTGGCCACAATCATCATTAGGGTATTTAGTTTAAAAAATGTGTCTGGTGACCCGGCCAACCAACCAAGATGGCCGCAATGGCTTAAAATAGAACATAGGGGTAAAATGTAGATTTTGGCTTATATCTCTGAAACCAAAGCATTTAGAGCAAATCTGACATGAGGCAAAAATGTTTATCAGGTCAAGATCTATCTGCCCTGAAATTTTCAGATGAATCGGACAACCCGTTGTTAGGTTGCTGCCCCTGAATTAGTAATTTTAAGGAAATTTTGCCGTATTTGGTTATTATCTTGAATGTTATTATAGATAGAGATAAACTGTAAACAGCAATAATGTTCAGCAAAGTAAGTTCTACAAATAAGTCAACATGACCAAAATGGTCAGTTGACCCCTTAAGGAGTTATTGCCCTTTTATAGTCAATTTTTAACAATTTTCATAAATTTTGTAAATTTTTAAAAAATAATTTCCACTGAAACTACTGGGCCAAGTTCATTATAGATAGAGATAATTGTAAGCATCAAGAATGTTCAGTAAAGTAAGATCTACAAACACATCACCATCACCAAAACAAAATTTTGTCATGAATCCATCTGTGTCCTTTGTTTAATATGCACATAGACCAAGGTGAGCGACACAGGCTCTTTAGAGCCTCTAGTTATAATTCCATTCATCTTCTTACCTTAAAGCATTCTTTGAATGATTATCATACATTTTAACCTGAAATTGTGGAATTACACACAGAAACCATGTCAATCATGCAACACCTTTGACCTTATAAACAAATTATCTAATAGTGAGTGTTATAATGCAAAAGTTCAGAATCATCTGTCATTATATGAGCTGACAGTTGACAAATTTAATATAGTCATGGATGTGAAATACCAAGATGTTATCTAAAAATCTGATTGCTTTTCAAAAAATGATAATAATTTAATAGGCATTGAACACTTTTTTTATTCCTCATTCCTGACTTAATATATAGAACAAAAGAACAAGAAATAAGAAATGTTTATTTACAGAGATAACAGTATAAAATTAGATTCTATGCCAAGAGCAATAGCAGCTAGTGGTTCAGGGCTGGTAGCAGTAGCGTGTATTAACCATGTGAGTAGTGTCTAGTCTTTTACAACCTTTGTTTCTATTTCTGTGCACTTTATATGCAGGGTCTTCTTGAATATGTGTGTAATGGATGTAATTACAGGTTTGGGTTCACATTTGAGATAAGTGCACTCCAATATTTATTTAATTAATTAACAACTGACAACATTGCAGAAATAGTTGAAACTGCTTTTCTGACTTTAACATGAGAAAAATTTGTCTAGCTTTGAATCTTGATTGAAATTGGTTGAAAAGGAATTAAACTGTCTGTTCCAGGGTCCACACTAAAAAAATTGAAGTCAAAATAATGTGTTTTGATAAGCAATGATGGTGTAGGATATGTGAGGAATTTCTTCATCTCTTTTCTATATTACAACAGTTACCCTGGGATTCCTTGTTTATAATAAATTAACAACTGAAATTGCTGTTTAATGTCATATGCAACTTTTTTCAAAGATACATACATGTTAGGAAACAGAGCATTTCACTTTGTGTCTTTCTTTTCTCACACAATTAAAATTTGTTTCAAAGATTTTTCTCCACCAAATTTAGTCTTCAAATGAGTAAAACATTCAGTTCAAAAAGCATTGTACATAGCCTTAAAAAAATTCCTGTTCATTAGTTTTGTTTGATTTTCTGCATAAATACTGCCTTTTTTTTAAAAAAGAGCATTTTTATTAAGAAATATAACTTATTTCAAATAAGTTTTATATATTAAGCTGAATTTGAAAATAAAATATTTTTATTTATAAATTAAAACTGCTCAACTTTAACCTTCATTTCAGATCATAGTGTTCAAAAATGGAACCAAGATAATATCTCAGGGAGTAAGTTTCGAACCTGTCAGTGTAGATGTTTTGAAGGGAGGTTCAATGATAGCAGTTGGAGCTCAAAAGGTGAGAAATAAAAAAGAAAATAGATCTTGTGGTTGTAACTCTTAAAAGCAGTTTATCTTACAATTTGATAAGAATATCTCAAAGCTTTTGGTTTTGTATATTAATTGTTGCTTTATGCTAGGTAAACTTAACTTCTGTTTTCTATTCGGATTTGTGAACTTTGAAACCCTGTATTGGACTTAGTTAAACTTTCTCAATATCTTAATCATTTAATTCAATTGTATACTTTGTTTTTAATGGGGTCTCCAAAAAAAAAAAGGGTGAAGTAAATGGAGCAGGTGGGAATCTGCCAACAGTTTCTGTGCAATAACTAAGAACCCTTCAACCAATGTTTTTTGAATTTTAATAAGTTATTAATAATGACAAAATAGAGATCAAGTTTGAAATGGACTATTTTCATTTTTACTGTTCAAGACGTGATCCTTGATAAATTGAAAAAAAATCATAGAATGTGGAAGGTCAACAAGCCTGAAAGTGCCTTCCTTTAGAATACTTCAATTTCAATTGTACAAGCTGCCCTTTTAAGTTCAACGATGGTTACCTTCAAACTACAGAAAACCTTGTTTGCTGTCAATCCGACAGCTTATTTCTTATACCTTCATTATTTTAGGGGTTTCTCTAAGCAGTTCAAAGACTGCTTTATGTGGGGACAAGGGGAATCAATTTGTGTGATTTGCTTAAAGTACCTCTGTCAGTAGTTTGAAAATATCATGATGGACATATAAGTTCAAGTTAATAAATAATCCTAATATTAAAGCATGGATATGGTAAAATTGAGAAAGGGTTATATTTTTGTATCTATTTGACAAATCAATTAACAACCCATGTCTATGAGAAAGTATAATTTCTTTTTGATTTCAGGGCAACAAAGTACATTTGTACGATGTTTCAAGTGGTGGACTGTCAGAAGTACATGTTTTAGATAACACAGGTGTTGCATCAGATGTTCAATTTTCTCCTGATGGACAGTATATAGCGACAGGTGGTGCAGATAAATATGTTAGACTGTTTTCAATGGCCAATTATGAGGTAAGTGTTAGAAACGGGAAAAACAGGGAAACAGGTGCGCATACTGTGGATTCATTATTATTCGTGGGATACCAATTTACATAGATTTCATGGATATAGATGAACCACGAACTTCAATGTTTGACAAATTACAACTTACTAAAGGCATATATGCAGAATTGGTAACAACCACAAAATCAAATATCCCAATAAATGCAAGTTTTACTGAATCGACGAAAATTGGTGCCCACAAAAATAAATGAGTTTACAGTATCCTCTAGTCAAAATCTTGCTATTTAGGAATTGAGTAATATTTTTAAAGAATTTCCTGATTATCTGTGCCCATTTTTAGTGAAGGAGAACAAAGGTCAAGAATAAACTTGATGGCAACAAAAGGAAAAGAACATTCTTATGAGGAAAATTTCACAACTGCATAAAGTAACATATATATTCAATAATTAGATATACAGATTTATATATTACTAAGAGTATTACAGTTTAAGTTGAGACCAGTATTTAAATGTTACAATAAACAGACAAAAAAACAAGTAGTCATTGAATGTAAGTGATGTGTATATTCTTGATTGTGTCATCTCTCATTCATCACTTACATGAAATTTTGATTATAGTATTTTTTTATCTAAGATTTGTTATAAAGTTTCAACAATTCTCTCTTAAATTATCTATCAAAAGATGCAATCTGTGATCTGTAATATACTGTGTCTTTAGGTTGCTGTCTCGTTTACATACATGTATGCTCCAAATATCCTGTTAGTATTTATATGAAGTATTGGGAATTCACAAAAAGGTGGGCCATGAATAAAAACTTCATCCAGAAAGATTTTTTTCATAATTAATGATAATGTAACGCTTATCAAGTGCAATGACAAGTGTATATCAACATTCTTGTTATAAAATTACAGGGGCTATGGGCATGAACCACACCTATTATTTTCTGTCAAAATACATATATTTTCAATAAAATGGAAACTTTTCCTGAACCATTATAACACTGAAATCAGTACGCTACTTTAATTTTTAAATGTTTTAAAAACATTATGTTTCAGAATCTAATTAATTTCCCAGCACACACAGCTAAAGTAACTTGTCTTGCGTGGAGTCCGGACTCATCAAAGTTTGCTACTGGTAGCATAGATACTAATATAGTAATTTGGAAACCAAGTGAAGGAATGTCACCAAAAATTATTAAAGGTAGGTTAGGCATATTTGTTGTGGTTTATACTAAAGTTACATCAACAATTGATATCTTTTATATTGAGAATAACACTGGTTTGTCAAACAGTTCTCATTTAACACATTTGAATTTAAAAATAATGAATATCAAAATGTGGAGATGTGGTTCTCATTTGACACATTTGAATTTAAAAATAACGAATATCAAAATGAGAAGTGGTGGGAATGCCAATGAGACAATTATACAATAGAGTTCAAAGGACAAGGAGGTAAGCAACTATAGGTCACCTTACTGTCTTTAACTATGAACAGAACCAATTGGGTATGATTTAAGAAAACAATTAAGGAAAACAAATATGACAGACAGCAACCAATGGCAATCACTGAATAATGAGTACCTTACTTGCAACAGGCACATTAAGAATATGGCAGATTCAAACATGTTTGTGAGCACTTAATCTTCTCCTTAACCTGGAACAGTAGTGTAACAACATCAGAATTAAGTTTGTTCTTGTAACCCAGGTTTTAAAATTTACCTATGCATCACATTTCCCCTGTTGATATTATTATCTTACACTTGTCTTATTTTGATGTTAATGTGCTAGAACTATTATCAGACTAAAAAAAAAAAAATTGGGCAAGGTTTAAAATTCGTTATAATACCTGGGTTTATGTAAGCTTACACCTGTGGGGTGGGTGGGCAGGAATATGCCCCAAAGTTGGTCATCAGGTGCAAAAAGTGTTGATTTTGACGATTTTTTGTCATTTCTTGACCGAGGGCTGCTGATAGATGTATCCAACTGTAGGCTGCATGTAGAGTGGACCCCAGTGAACACATTAACCACAACAGTGCTTAGGTCAGAGTGAAACTGATCTGGGCACAGCAGTCTAATAATTAACACGATCAGTAGTTATATGCCCGCGTGTTTACACTATTTTTGGTAGTTTTAGGCCTTTGAACTGGGTGTGTCAGACACCGAGGGAAGCACACCCCTCCAGAAAAAAACAGTTTTATCCAATTTCAATTTTAGAAGTTTGTATTTGAGCTTAAAATGAACCTTAAACCTGTGAAAAAAACAATACATAACCTTAGGTCAAGATTTTGAGCAAGCCAGCGTATTTGGAGGCCTTGGTAACCAATTCTGGTGCCAAAACAGATGAAAGAGCTTAAACTGGAAAATTTGATTTCTACCACCCCCTATATTAACTCTTACTTTACTGAATTGTTTTCAGAAAATGTCTAATTTTCATTTATTTGCAAAAATATGCAAATGAGCTATACCCTGCTGCTGATGCATATTGATTCCAATAAAGCTAAGACAGGGGATCACGGGGCTGGGTGGTTGGGGTGAGGAGGTTTGTAACCTGCCCCAAAGTTGGTCATCTGGTGCAAAAAACGTTAATTTTGATAATTGTTCGTCCTATTTCTTAACCTGGAAGACATTATGATGCTGATAGATGTATCCAACTGTAGTCTGCATGTATGGTGGATCCCAGTGAACCACAACAGTGCTTAGGTTGGAGTGAAACTGATCTGGGCACAGCAGTCTAAAGAAGGTCATCTGCACAAAAAATCCAGAATTTCCTGATTAATTCCCCGATTTTGGCTTCTACTGGATCTGCAACCTGAAGTATTCATTCCCTAAGGGTATCTCAATATAAACACAATCAGTTGTTATATGCCTACGGGTTTTAGGCCTCTGAACTACGTGTGTCAGAAGCAGAAAAATAAAAACAGTTTTACTTCAATTTTCGAACTTAGTATTTGAGATCAAAATGCACCTTAAACCTGAGAAACAACAATAAATAGCCTTAGGTTGAGGGAACATGCATCAAATTCGAAATTATTGTCATACAGTTGACCTCTAAAAGTATGGAGAGCCAATGGAGCCAAAAAACAGTGTTTTTGGTAGAGGCCTTCATGTTATGGCCCCCAAAGGATAAGGGTTAAAGATATTAAAATTTATACTTATAACTTAACCAGTTGAAGATGTTTTAGTGATCATTGATCAAACAGTACATTAATGAAAGCTTTATATACCAGTTGATTCTCAAAAGATATATATCTATATTTGTATTTTCAGGAGCCCATCAAATGAGTGTAGTGAACAAATTAGCTTGGTTAAATGACAAAGTGCTAGTATCTGCAGGTCAAGATAGCAATGTTAAACAGTGGGATAATGCATAAACCAAAAGACATTTGGAATCATGTGATTTGGTGCAGGAACTACATTTGTATCATGTGATAATCATGTGACCAATAAATCTTATGTTGATACTTAACAGACTTCATGATCAGCTGAGGATTGTTGGTTAAGCCATTCCCTAGATACTTTTAAAATTATATTTATTGTCATTTTTATCAGTATCTTAAACTCAATAATGACAATATTTTGTACCATAAGTTTCCAAATGACACAAATGAACTTTAATAATACAAAGGTTTCACATACAACTTTACACCAAAAGAAAAAGTAAACAGTAGATCCTTAGACTTAATACTGCTGTAGGTTCATATTTAACCATGGCGTACTAATTTTCATGGAATTTTGTGGGAAAAGGCAAACCATGATTTTAATTATCCTTACTCAACATAATGAAACCTTCCTTAAGACTTACAGAATTTGTTCAAGCCACTAAATCAAATCCATACCTGCCAACATTTCAAAATGCCCAAGGGGGTTTAGCATGCAAGATGGCTCTCATTGTCCCACAAAACCTTTAAAGGGGCCTTCAAATTTATTTTAATGATGTTTATTGCTTCTTCATTTCATACTTTTACAATCATATACCCATGGTAAAATTGATTGTTTTGTTTTAAATTGTGGACATAATTGCTCTTTTAAAATTTCCAATTGGGAGCCTCCATGGGGGAAATCCCCCACAAATAGTGGCAGGTATGCAAATCTCCTGTAAAAAATATTTGTTTTCCTTTAATGCACGAAAAAATTGAAATAAATACCAGTGGAAAATATATGAATCCACAGCAGGAAATCAGAAAAACAAATTTTTGACCTCTTTTGACCTCCTTTTGACGATATATATAAACATAAATAATATCGAAATTTTCATTTAAACATAATCTTCAATGTTATGTTTGGCAGTGATTATGTGTGTAAAAAAATAACTAAAATTTCTCATAAGCTTTTGTGGCAGTATTAAGGTGTGTAAAAAATTAGCTAAAGTTGCATTTCTAGCTTTAATTACAGCATAGTTTCACAATCATACACACAATGACTATCAGTTTGAATATTTTCCAAGGTAATTGATTGACCAATAACCAATACAGATGGCTAAGGTGCAATTTATAAATCATGATGAACAATTTACATTTCCTGTTATTCATATAAATCTTACTTTGTACTTGAAGTATGTTTTGATTGTAAAAAACCAATAGATTATATTTTTTATGTTTTCATTGAATGTATGAGTGATCAAAAAGGCCAAAATTTTATGCTATTCACATATGTATTAAGTTAAATATCTAGGAAATCCAAGGAGTCTTCTTTTTCATACCATATATATAACTAATATACTTTTTTGTTTAGGGGCCAGCTGAAGCCCGCCTCCAGGTGCAGTATTTTCTCGCTGTGTTGAAGACCCATTGGTGGCCTTGGGCTGTTTTCTGCTCTTTGGTCGGGTTATTGTCTCTTTGACACATCCCCCGTTTCCATTCTCAATTTCATATCTCAATGGGTCTTTTCAAGAAAAAAATTATTCTATATTTAGAATACATAGAATTCCTTTCAAGGTTATATAAGCCACAATTATTTGTCCTAATACTGCTACTCTGGATAGAATATGAGTAATCAAACAATAAATTACTTTATGAATAAACATACTGTTTAAAAAAAAACAGAATCAGCTAAAATAAAATGCATAGCACAAATGCCTAAAATAAATGTTTTCTGCTATACTTGTTATCTGATATTGTTTACCTTAGTTATTTGTGTAACCATAGTTACGGCAATATTATTTTAGTTGCTTACCAGTATGTTTTAATTGTATTAGCTACGACACTGATATTTGTTTTTGTTTGTTTGATAATTATAGATTATCGTTGGTCATCTCAACGAGATTGATTTTCTCGCTTGAGCCGGTACGGCGAAAGTGAGAAAAGCAATCGAGTTGAGATGACCAATGATAATCTGTTTATCACTATTTTACCTATGAAGACGTTGTTAATTTCCTTGACAACGGCATGTGTTCCCTCAGTTTCTAGCGATAATTTTCATATCACTCGACTCCGTTTTCATATCACTCGACTCCGCTGAGAACGGAAATTATCAGTCAACAAGATCAAAGGAAAAATTCGTAAAAAAGCGATAATAAGTTTTCTTGACATCCAGACATTATAGTGAAAAGAGAGAAAAAAAAAAATTAAACATGAAGTGTACTTAAACATAAGATTAACAAGAACAGTTCTAAGCTAGAAAAGAAAAAAAAATTATTGGTTACAGCAGCAACTATATTTTGCATGACTTGTCAAGGAATTTAATAAATTCTTGTAATTTTGTATTTACTTATTAAGGTCAAAACAGAAGTCCATGTGTCTATACATACAATTTAAAATTACCAAAATGAAAATTAAGGACAGTTGTGTGAGAAATTTTTGAGTCTATAAAAGTTCACAAAATATGGGAGAATTTAGGTATCTTTCTAATAATTAGAGGTAAATTGATAATCATGTATTCTTTAATGTAAATGTCATATCTTTGTTATTATTATTATTTTCTTTATTTGTATAAATGTCTACCATTTGTGATTTTTTTAAAGAACAAACTATGCAAATTATTGTTGGAAGGTTAAGCTTTTTGGTAGATAGATTTGCTGCCATGGTCTGAATGTATGCATGTATTGTCTTTCTTTTATTATAAAAAAACAATAAATATATTTATATAACTTTAAATCATTAATTCAGTTACCAAATATATGACTTTCTTATTTACACAATGAAAGAAAAACCTTTATCTAAGCTACTACAGGATGTTACAATCTTTATGCTGAAATTTTTACAGCAACAAGCCAGACACTATTTGCAAAATTCTGTATATATGCTATTAGCCTGTAGTAGAAATTCTTTTAGGCACGATGTTTTTCAGAGACGGATTTAGGAGGGGGAGCCCTGTTTTTATCAAGCCTGGGCTGATGAGCCTGTGGTCAAGCCTGAAGACTAGCATAAATAAAAAGTTCTTGGTTATTTCACTTTTTAGATCATATCAATGTACAATATATTTTCTTTCAGAAGGAATTGAATTTTCATCAATAACTTGTTATTTTCATCAGAGATTGATTTGATTTGATTTTTGGTGTTTTAACGCCACTTTTAAGCACGGCTTTTGGGCTATTTCGTGGCGGCCAGTTTTTATTGGTGGAGGAAGCCGGAGTGCCCGGAGAAAACCATGACCTTTGATAGGAAAACTGACAATCCTAGTCAATTAAGATTGCAGTCGAGTGCACCCGCACGAGCGGGGTTCGAACTCACAACCTCAGTGTTGACTGGCTAGTGATTACATTTTCATCAGAGAAGAATCCCATATAAAAATATGGAGATGTGTAATGATTGCCAATGAGACAACTATCCATCAAAGACCAAAGGATAAGCCTTCAACAATGAGTAAAAACTATACATTGTAGTAAGTTATCAAAGGCCACCAGAGTGAAACAATTGAAAAGATAATACCAACACCCTGATTTCTACTACAATAAACGATACAACAGTTATGGTAGACAGCAACAAATGGCAACCACTTGACCACAGATTACCTGCATGAGACAAGCACATAAAGAATGCGGCAGGGTTAAACATGTTTGAGAGCGCTAAATCCTTTGCACAACTTGAGACAGTGGTGCATTAACACAACATTGTAAACAGTAAAAATCAGCTGGATAGGGCTGGAATCAACAGATTGGTACTAAGCACACAAAAAAAAATTGACTTGTGAAAAACAGAAATATACATCTTTATAATGATTGATTGTCCTATTTTACTGGCCGCTTTTTTAACCCTAGTTCTCTATCAAGTTCATGTCTTGGGTATTATAATTACATTGAATTATCAACCTAAAAGAGTTTTGAAGCTTAGATTGGTGAACAGACGATAAGGGAATGATTAGATGTAAGCAAGAACATGTTTTAAGCAGAAACTTGAAAGTAAAAAAATTGTAATATAGAAAATATATTTAAAAAAATAAATGAATTAAAAAAAGGGGGTCCATGCCAAAGTGTCTGTGAGATCTATGTGATTAGGCCAAAAGTGAGCTTTCATTGGTTGCTGTCTGTCATAATTGTTTTTGGTTTGTTGTTTTTTACTTACAATATTGAAAAAAAGGTTCAAATATTGGATTATCATCAAATACATAAGAAACACAAAAAAACAAAAACAACAATATGGTGAGATATAAAGGCAAATCATGAAAACAAAATCATATTACTGTGACTTGACTGTTAGTGTTGCTCTCCACCTATTGCAACTTATTCAAAATTCTGCCCAAATTGCAATTTGTTTTATAAAACCAAACTGTTCAACTGGTCAGAAATTTGAACAAACTGCTGTAGAAAACCACAGTCAAGTCGTGAAAGTGCAAGGTGATAAAATATAGCATACTTACAATCCTATAAGGCTTTAAATCCACTTCAATGTTATTATGAAAAATCAGTCTAACAGTTTGTATAGAAATTTTATTGCTATTGTCATGCTAAAGGTGATGGATAGAAATTTTGAATTGCTATAAAAATGTCCAGGCTAAGGTTTCATACAATTTTTCTTTCTAAAAGTCTTCTATATTCATAAGAATCAGACATCATTTGAATTAAAACATTTTATATTCAGTAAAATATGTGTGAAATTACAATACAATGTTAGGAAGTTTCCTTTTTTATAGCAATTCAAAATTTCTATCCATCACCTTTAGCATGACAATAACAATAAAATTTCTATACAAACTGTTAGACTGATTTTTCATAATAACATTGAAGTGGAATTAAAGTCTGATAGGATTGTAAGTATGCTTTATTTTATCACCTTGCACAGTAAGAAAAATTTGACTCCTTTAATATTGAACAGTTCTATCACAGAAGATGTTTTCACTAGTGATTACCTCCCTTTGACCACTGAAAAGTAATATACATGTGTTCAGTTGACACTAGCATAAACATCTTGTTTTAACATTTATTTAGTTTATACATATTATACATTCCAATGAAACTAATTTAACAAATGTCTAAATAATTACTACTTAGTATGTTTTTTTTTTCCAAATTAGATAGCTCAGAAAAGGATGGAACCACAGACATGATATTGTTAAATAATTCTTGATCATGATGACATTAGCATTTTTCTTCAAATATGAGACTTGATTTTAAAAAATTCAAATTCAAACATTTTCTATGTTGTGTGTTTGTTTCCCATGTATATATATAAAAATACTTTCCAACTTTTTTAAAATGAAATAATTTTATTTGGTGATAGTTATGCAGTACAGGCACTTTTCATAGGTAAAAAAAATGACAAGTGTCTGTGGTTTGACTCATTGTTGAAGGTGGTGCTGTGACCTATAGTTGTTTTTATCCTAGATTTTTTGTCTTTGGTGGATAGTTGTCTCATTTGCAATCATATCACATATCTTTGTTTTTACTTTTCTTTTTTTAGTTTAGTATTAATATAATCGTGTTGTGTCATTGTCATACTTAAGGTCAAGGAACAGTAAATGGGCTATGTCAAAGATTTTGCTAAAATTTTGCAAACAACCTTGGCTCGTTGAACTATAACTGAAAATCGAAAAAAAAAATAATGCATTTATCTCTTATTATCTGAAATATTACATGGATTTTTCTGAAAAAGCTATACGTTGTTGATACATAACTTTCCATTTTAATGATATTAAATAATCATATGGTTACCGACTTCGTTTTTTTGTCTAATAATCAATCTGTTACCTAGTTGGTAGCAGACATGGGGTCAATTACTTTTGAAAGTAATTAATTACATTCAATTACAATTACAAAATCTTCAATTAAATTACACATTACATTTGACTTTTTTTGACAATGTAATTAATTACTTTCAAATTACTTGGCAAATGTAATTAATTACTTCAATTACTTTTGAAAGGAAAATTTAGAACATGCATTTATTCTATCATATGTACATAATTATCATACATTGCTTTATAGTAATAACAAATGAGATCTACAGTGACTATTTTCAAATTCAGCCAGTATCAAAGAAGAGTAAAAGTTAAATATCTGGTGTGTTACGGGAATAAAGAAAAAACAAACATAAATCTGAAGTGCACAAAATACTTTGTCTATCAGGAATCGTTAGGACTAGATGTCTGGTTTGATTTAATGCGCAAAATGATAAAAAGCCTTATTCAATATTTGCAAAATATTAAATTTTGTTTAATTACCTATTGAAATTTTATGTTTTAATGTATTTCATTGAAAATGATACAAGAAGAGAGCCGTAAAGATAAAATTTTCAATTACAATTACAAAATCATTTTTTAATTTGATCACAATTTTTTAAAATTATTTTTCCTAAAGAAATGATTTAGAAAGTCTGACTTTTTTATTAAAAATATAATGTAGTTTTAATCACAATTAATTAATTTTAAAAAAAAATCATGTACCTAGGGGTATATTTATCCCTCTCTAATTGGCTTAACACCTGTTTAACATGCAAACATAACTGTTGTAAAAACAGTTATTATATAGTTTATGATAAAACAAATAGCCAGAGGTTATATTTATTGATTGACTTATGACCTTTCAAATTGATTATGTTAAATCAATGTCTAACAATATCCATCTGAATATACATGTAGGTAACAAGCTAATTAAGGTATAAGACAGTGACTTACTAATGGTTTCTTTTAAATACAAATTATGGCATGTTTCTACAATATTTTTTTTCTTTTTAATTTTTTGTTCATTCATTACAAAAAAAAAAAGAATCTTCCATGGTTGTGTAGAAGGTATACTGTGTAGGCTTTGATTTGTCAGCTAACTACATTTGCTAAGGTCATGGCTTTTCATAATTTTTTGAGAAAACACAAGATTCAATCTTTCTGATCCCAAATTTCAAATGTAATTGAGTTGTAATTGAAAAGTAATTGTCAATTACAGACAATTTTGGCTTTGTAATTCATTACTTTCAATTACTTGTAATTAAAAAAATGCTCAATTACACATTACATTCAATTACTTGAGAAATTGTAATTAATTACAGCCAATTACAATTACATATTTCAATTACCCCATGTCTGGTTGGTAGTGAAAAACGTAAAAAAAATAACATTATACGGCCTGCAACACGATGATGTTACGATTATTTCGATGTTTTGTGGTATTTTTTTCTCACAGAGAACACCACTTTGAGTGATGTAAACCGTAAAAAAGAAGTTGGTGACCCTACCATTATTTTACATCATTAAAAAGGAAATTTATGTATCAACAACATATAGTTTTTCAAGAAAAATCGATGTATTAGAAATCAGAGATTTGATGATTTTAAGACAAATTTAAGAAGACTTTTTGCTGATTTTATGTGCTTTCTATACAAATATTAACTTATTTTGAAAATTCAATCAGTAATATTTCAGATGATAAAAGAGATTAATGCATTATTTTTTCCAGTTTCAGTTATAGTTCAATGAGCCAAAGTTGTGTGCAAAATTCAACCAAAATCTCTCACATAGCCCATTTCCTGTAACTTGACCTTAATTAGAGTTTAGTGGGTTTTTAAAATCTGATTCTATGCATCCTCTCTCCTTATATATCGAGATCAAAATAGGAGGTGTTGAATACTAAAAAAACTAGATTAACTCTACCACATGCAACATATAACTTCCTCACTGAGATGGAAAATTACAGGGATTCAAAGACAATTACTGTTATAATTTAAATAGTGGGTATAAATCTTTGTTGATACATGTACTACAAGTGAAATAATCCAATTAAATTTTTTTTTTGAATCGTAAAGGTGAAAGTTACCAAAGGGACATTCAAGCTCATACGTTGAAAAAAACAAATTGACAAGGCCATGGCAAAAAACAAAAAATGACCAAAAGACAGACAACAGTTGACAAAATACAACATAGAAAAATTAAAGACTGAGCGACACAAACCCCACAAAAAACTCTGGGTAATCTCAGGTGCTCTGGAAGGGTAAGCCTATTCAGCTCAACATGAGGCACCCTTTGTGAGGCTCATGTGATTACAAACTGGTGATAAGCCTAATTTCATAGGTCACATTCAAGAGGATGGGATTGTGATTACGTCAATTGGATTCAAACATTTTTGTCGTCATATATTGAAACGGATATTCCATAATGGACGACTAATTTGTGATGGCGTAAGTAAAATTTCAAAGGGATGATTTCTAATTCATCATTGGAACTCTTAGTTCAATAGCTTCATTGTGATCAGCAACCCTCTATCAAGTAAAAAATCATGATTTTAAATGCAAGCTCTTGAATATGGTATAAACTGGGACATTATACTCCATATGCAGGCACTGCTGGAAAGTTGCTACATAGAAATGGAAAGTTCACAATTTGCAAGCTGAAATCATCTCTTGTCAAAGTTTTGTTCTCAACCGACCCTCATTGTCAATTTCCAGATGTAAGTCAATATATGAGGCAGACTTAAATGTATCTATTGTATCTATTATTTCAAATTTGATGAGATGAAGATGTGTTCAACATAGTCATAAAACTTTGAATTATTTAGTGAGAGGACATGTAACATGTATTAGTGTAATGTGAAGCTAAAGGACAATGATCATTTTCTTACTAGACTTGCTACATGTCCCTTCCTAATTTTCTTTTTTTTTTCAATTTTATCCCTTTAACAATTTTACTGCTATAACTAAGAGATTGTTATTATATTGACATCTGCAAAGGCAATCAGTGTACTGGGGCATCCGTTTCATGGCAGATTTCAGTAAACATATAAATTAGTAAGAAATAAATAAAAGAAAGGTATAAATAGTAGCAAGCCTATTTTCTTACCTCTTTTCCTAAATTTGGGATATTGAGTGAAAAGATTTTTTCAGTAGAGCTTATCATCAGGAATGAATGTATTTGAAAAGAACACCTAATAAGAACATAGCAGGTGAAATTTTCAACAATAATATAATTATTATATGAACTCAGTTATGCTAAAGCTGGGACATAATATATAAGTATTATTTCCTATTCCCAGGCTAAAGACAAGCCCTTTGTGTGTGTGTGTGTGTTTTTCTTCCATTTTTTAAATTGTGTGTTTTGTTTCTATTAGGAAACGGAAAAGATTTATCTGTAATAAACAATGTATTTCATGTATTTAAAGGTATTTTATTTTTGAACTTTATCATGTTTCCAGTTCTAATCCGGAAAAATATCCCCACCAACCGTTGTTGACTTCAGCTTTTCTGATGCATTCTGGGAGGCCAACCTGTTAGGTCAGATTTTGCATCTCTGGGAGTGCCTATGACAAAAGACTCAGTGTAATCGACTTCTTTGTTCTATCCTTAGTTAAAACTAAACAAGATCTACCATTACCCGATCCTTGCAATGCTAAAACTGCCCTTACGATACACCCCCTAATTTACATATCGCACAAACATGGCGGACCTTGATCTGTCAAAAATGGGAGGAACAACAAAAACATCTGAATATAACAACAAAACATGGACTTTATAAAGAAAATCGAGTGTCACAGACACTGTATTTATATCATATTTTTAAGCGTGAGTTTAAATAAGATATTTTGGCACTACTCTGTCGCAAGTTGTAAAGATTCTGAAGCATACCCGACAACCGTTGGCATTTCTTAAGGAAAGAGGAATGTTTATTTTAGCGTGATGTTCTTTGAGCAAACCACAAACAACTATGAATTACCTTTGTAAAACGTTTGATTATAATGGGAATTTTCCAAAATTCTTTTGACCATCTCGAAAATAGAACAAAAATGCGCATTGGAATGTCTGAGAACACAGATTCAACATCTAGTTTTCATTTAGTTAATTCAAAAGTAGATATGGGGCCAACTGATTCAGTGTCATTTGTGAATTCAAATCCGAACAAACTAATTCACAAGGAGGTTGAAAAGGGGAAATTCAGTTTATCTCTCCGCAATGACTATGAAAGAGATCTTTTAATAAAACGCTTAGATGAAAGTGCAGACATTTCCAGTGGTGATGATAGTTCTCCTTCCAAAAGTCTATGTCCAATAGATGCTCAAAACATAGATGATTCGCAGGGGTCATTTGACAAAATGGAAATTTATAATGATGATGAAAAAGAAGCATATGATAATACAGACGATTGTGACAGTGATGGGAAAGAAGCAAAGTCCACTTTGAAACCTGTTGATTCAGGATTAATTATTTCACCCATTAGATTAACAGAGGATATGCCTATCAATATCAATGAAGATGAAACAAAATTTTCCTCAGTGACTAGTAATATGCAGCAAAAATTGGTATATATTCCAACAACAAAACAACTTGTAGCAGAAAGCTCAAGTCATGCAAATTATTCTAATACTCAAAATGCACAAAATACAAGTAGACCTGATCATGACCATTTGAATGAACAAGATAGCCATGATTTAAGTTCTTCAACAGAAACAATTTTGAATGAAAATGGTGGTGTTAAATTCAGTATACAAGTGAATGACACATCTAGTCTTGGTGGAGAAAGTGACTCCTTGTTGTATCTCAGTTTAGGCAAGAATAAAGACCAAGATCAATTATCATTGAATAATTCTGAAAATGATACGTGTATGCCTCGTTTAAATACTGGAGATTCCTTACTTCGGACATTCAATGATACTACAAGTCTTTCTAGTCTTAGTACATGTACAGATTTTTCAATATCAGCAGCCTCTATGGATGAAGGTTGTGATGGAACTGGACTTTGCATTGATACTGGGGATGGGGAATTTATGGAGATCAGTTTACATTCCAGAAATTCTTTTGAAAGAAAAAAGAACCCATCTCAGGATAGTGGGTTTGAAGACAGAGGTTCTAAATCTAAAAAGAAAGGATTATCTGTGTCAGATTTTTTAACCAGGTATGATTGTTTTTCTTCAATTTCTATGTATATTTTCTTTCTCTAATTAAGTTGTTAAAAAGAAAGATTTTATAGGAATTAAAGGAGATGCGGGCAATGAGTATAAGTCAATGATACAGCAACCAAATACAAACACTCAAAAATTCTTACGGTCAATATACAGCTTTCAACAATAGACAAATGTCTTAACAACATGCCAAGCTCTAATTCTAAAAACGGGGTGTTTTTTAACCATCTGTATGTAAAATGTACATACATGTATATACATGTACATGTATGTGTATAAGTATGCAGCCATGTTTGGTCTGAAGTAGGACATTAAATTAAAAGCTGTGTAGAGAGAGAGAGACCCCCTTAAGGTCATTACATGTAGGTAGTCGGTTGTAGAGCAAAATTTTTGATCCCTTTCCAACATACATTTGTACACATACATGTACATTCATTTCCGGTCATGCCAGTGGCAGTCAAATTCTCATCTTCATCCTGTTCGACTTACATGTATATATACCTATTGCAAAATAATTGCATTAATTGTTAATTTTTTCTCATCCTGAATAGTGAATATTCATGAAATATTGGCCACTGGACGTTGAGCAAACTATAACAATCTTTCAAGAAACAGTATATGTGTCTTAACTTATGCTACTCGTACATGTACATGCACATTTATCAAAGACAGTTCTCAACCATAAAATAAGTAAATGCAAACTTCCATCATGGTTCTGTACATGTAAATTGTCCATGTTAGCAATATAAATGATGTGCTTGTACATTTTATGTATTATTCTTTTATACAAGAGAAATCTGTTAACATGAATACAGTTGTATGCATTTTACTGTTTAAACCCTTAGAATTAACCCCCCCCCCCCCCCCCCCCCCCCCCCTATAAAAAAGAAATTAAAACCAATTGTCATACATTTCACAGTTTATCCCAATTGTGAGATTTTGTTCTCAGTATGTTCAAACAATTCACAATTGATGATTCAAATGACAAAATGTGCACAGAACAGGTTACATTTAGGCATGGCATTTTTCATTAATACAGTGAGTTTATGCCTATTGTAAAAGTACATGTACATGATGTACATGTATAAATCTTTCACCTGTATGTTGCTGTTGAACTCATAAAGTTAAAGTTCACTGGGAATGGATGGTACATGTACATTGTAGATATAGCTTGGGATGACTGGTCAGTGAAGATTTACTGTATTGTGTGTAAACCCTGTTACATGTACATGCACACTTTATAAGGAAGGAAAACTTGTAGTTGTTTCCTGTTTTAAAAACACTTGTATACATGTTAAGTTGTGTACAATGTCATATTTTAGTAATGTCATGAATGTTCAGCAGAAGGATCCTTTTATTATCTACATGTATTTCTCAAATATTTCTTAGTTAAAATTGTAAGTCATTATGGATTCAATGATACAAAAATTTGAAGGAATGAAGAAGTTAACAGGTTGAGGTAAATATTATTTTAGGATTTTATTTTCATTTCAGAGTTTTGAATTTTTGTTTATCATCATTTATCATGTTCATACAATGTTTGCAAACATTTTCACTAAAAGTGGCACCCCATGTTTGGGATGAAAATAATGGTTATTTGGGATTTGTGAAATTTGAAGGGCATTTGACATTTCTTCATGAACAACATGAAGAATGCTACAAATGTACAAAGTACATGTTGTATGTGTCATGTTTAGATTCAAAACAATGAAATACATTTACAAGCCAGGTACAAATGTAGATTGGCTCCTCCAGAATCCTTTGAAATGTGTCATTCAAAACTCAAAACACAAGACTTTGGACTATTTATATTACATGTACATGTATATTGAGGTCATGTGAAAGATTTTCTGAATTACAAATTTCTGCCATCTAATGAAGTCATTCTCTGCTTCAATCCTCAACCCCCAGATTTGTCAATGCTTCAGAGATATACATTTTATAGAAACTACCAACTAAACAGGACTACAAAATTCCATTGATATCTGCTACTGGTGATTGAAATGTCTACTTTAGTGAAATTTTAATTACTTTTTATGTATTGATGATGTGCATGCATGTGGGCCAATTAACCAAATGTCCAAGACTATCCTCCCATAAAGAAATAGTTTTAACAGGTATTTTACCATATAGGCGCAAAAGGAAAAAAAGTGTTTCTGCTTTTTATCCTCATACATGTAAGGGTTGTAATAAGCCCCACCATTCAGGATTGATGTACTAGTACATGTACACACATAAATATTATAATGTTACTGATTTGTGTTACAATATATACAAGTACAATTTTATTACAAGAAGATAAGAAAATTTATGCTCTATCACACATAATGTGATATTAAGTCTGATATATAATTATTTTTAACATACAGTCTTACATGTACTTGAACTTCATAATTCATTATTTAAGTAATTTTTATATTCTCAGTATAAAACATTATACATGTACATGTAGTACATTTATACATGGATTTGAATTTTGGAATGGACAAAGAAAGGTAACTCTTAAACAAAATTTGTTTATAAGTTTTGGTTTTATTAAGCAGTTAAGCTGCTTTATGCGAGCACCCTAGATTTGTGTTCTACCCAATAAATGCTGAAATATGTGCCATTGTTATTATCTGACTGGCTATTATGTTATTTATAACTAATTGAACACTTTTTTCATACTTTTAATTCTGGAATACAAAAAATATGACCAGAAAAACCTTAAATGATCGTCGAACCACCCAAAAGTTTTGAAGTTGCACATAGGAAGTAGTGCTCAATAGAAATCCTTATGTAGTTTATTATCCCCTGTGCTTTTGGCCAAGATGTCAAAGAACAATTGCATGAATTATTTCATCGCCGAAAATCTCTAATTACAAGTCGTTTACAGTTGCCAAATGGCACAAAGCGCAGGAATATTGTATAACGGCTGTGACTAATATGACACGGAGTTGAAGTCTCAGTTGGCGGTAATTTTAACTTCATCGACAAAACGTAAATCAAGGACGTTTTAAATTTGGTGATTTCTGATAATAATCATTTTGTTCAACCGCTAGCTTTATACCGAAAATCGCCAACATGTTATGTGTAAATCCGAGTAAATCGTATCTGACTGACAAAAACAACATTGAAAAACAATGGATGCCATAAACCGGAAATGAAGACAATTATAATACCGGATCTAATTCCGGGGGCGGATAAGGGTAATTCCGGGTTTGCCGATCAAATACAATAAAAATATAATAATTCCAGGCATGAGACAAAAAACATCTATCATGATGAAATATAAACTCTAGAATTGAAAACCAAAGATATATTGAAAAGAAAGAAAAAGCAGGAAATATTTTATACAGAAACTCAAAATTACTTTTAGTTCACAAATTTTCATGTCAAAAACCAATAAAATGTGACAGTATTTTCCTTATCATTAATAAATATTGATATTACATGTAGATGTTTTTATTGTTTTAACATATTACTACAATTCCATGAGGTAATTTCTTCTCAATTTTGAAGGGCCTATACAAATCTGGAAGTTTCTTACTTTATTTTCACAGAGGAACTAGCTAATATAATATATAGTGCAACTAGATATGATACACTTAAACAGTTTTGAATTTGAACTGTTTAATATAATGGTATAATTAGTAATAAATAATCAATTGTTGAGACAACACACCCACCCACAGTGATACCCTCAACCTCCCTCAGCCTTCCTAATACAAAAAAAAAGATTATTTGAATTCATAAATTAATATACAAGACAATTACATTTATTATTAAACATGTTAAACGACAGTGACACTGACAATGAAACAAGCTAACTTAACACCAAAAGCACATTAAATTATCTTACTGAGTTATGAACTATTTCAAGTAAAAGCAGGACCTGGAATTTAGGTTGTGGACCTTTAATCAGTTTGGAGTGTCAAAGGTCTTGGACTGTCCAGTACCAAATGTTAATTTGAACCCCTGCATTCACAGTAAAGCGATTTTGACGTGTATTGCAATTCCAAGTAGAATTTACTTTTGGACATTAAACGTTTCGAATGCGTATTAAACTAATTCAAATCAGTTAATAATGTGAATCGAATTCGAATTATGTGTGAACGCAGCATTGATATATCTAAGAAATGAAGAATATTAAAAAGATGGACAAAATATTTGTATTAAATTTGTTGCAATTTTTGTCATGCCTTGACAGAGTCAAAAAGTGAGACATATATATATATATAGGCATGCTGTTTTGGCGGAATCAACAATGTATTAGTTTGTGATTTTGTGATAAGGTCTGGTTTCTGGTAGGTCAATGACATTTTGTAAGTAGTTGTGTTAGCATAGGCACATCTCATTACCATAGAGAATATTTGGCCCCACCCCCTTAGTCATGGTCTATTGACTTTGAAACTTTGCATAGTTTACATGTATATGTTTGTGATTAGGTCAGTTTAGGGGGAACCACTAGTGGTAGGTCAATGATATTTGGTGTGCAGTTGTATAAACTTTTTCATTTCTAATTTCCATTGAGATTATTTGGCCCCGCCCCCTCAATCATGCTCTTTTTACTTGGAAACTTATGTTACTTTGAAATTTCATTTATTAGTTTTCGATTAGGTTAGTATTAGGGAAACCAATAGTGGTAGGTCAATGATAATTGGCATGTAGGTGTAGAAGCATTAGTACGTCTCATTTCCATAGAGGATATTTGGTCCTCACCCCTCAGTCATATGCATGATCTATTGACTTTGAAACTTTTACTTAGTTTACATGAATGAGTTTGTGATTATTATGATTATGTCAGTTTAAAATTACCAGTAATCTTAAGTCAAAGCTATTTGGTATGCGAACGTATTGGTATTCAAAAGTTTCATTTCCATGGATATTATATAACCCCACCCCCTCATTATGGTTCATTGACTTAGAAATTGAATTTGTGTTAAGGTTTGTTTAAAGGGAACGACTTATGAAAAGTCAATGGTATTTGGTTTGCAGTTGAACAAGCATTGGC